GGTCCCAACAGGGGCAATGTCGTAGCCGTCTTCACGCCTCGGCGAGGGTTGGAAGCTAAAGAGGAATAAGCATGATGATACCAAGAAGAAGAAGAAGAAGAAGAAACATACTACTAACACTAACATGAAATAAGACGAGAAGGAAGAACGCAACTTCGCCTCGCCCGCACGCACGGCACGAACACGAAACCGAAACCGATTTCCCGGTAGGGGGATCTCCGTTCCACTTCGGCCTCACCCCCCAACCTCCGAAGAAGAAGACACATAATAATAATAATCATAAGAAGAATAAGAAGAATAAGGAGACACATAATACAAATAAAAAAAGGCAGAAGAAGAAGAAGAAAGAAGACGAGGAGGAGGAACAGTAAACGGGTGCACAGCTCGTGCACGCGAGAGCGAACCTTCGTCGGCAGGGTCGACGGGCGGAGCGAGCACGTGCCCAGCGTGCGCGCGGGGGGGGGGGAGAGAGCGGGAGCGGGTCGGTCCCCCGAGACGGGTGCAGCCGGATGCCGCCGCGCCCCTGGAACTTGAAGGCCGGGGGCGCCTTCGAGGTCAGCCTCGCGGGGAGGACGACGCCGAGGAGGACGATGGAGGGTTGAGCAGGAGGGTGAGGAGGAGAAGGAGGAGGGAGAGGAGGAGGGGGAGGAGGAGGAGGAGGGGGAGTAGGAGGAGGGGGAGGAGGAGGAGAAGGATGAGGAGGAGGCGGAGGCGCCATGTTTCTATCGGTCCTCTCTGGGTCTCCTGGGAGCTCATCTTCGCTGTTCTCGCTGGAACGCACCCTTAGAGGAGTCCAGAGTTCGATTCTTGGAAGGGGGGAACCCAACCTCCAAGCGTCGCGAAACAGTCGCGGCGCATATTTTTCGAGGTCCTGGCCTCCAGGGGCCGTTTTCGTTATGGGGGGCAGCCAGAACGACTCGCAATATCAGTGCTGGGGTCAAGGACTCCGTCGGGGCCGCTGGTTAGGGGTAAACGTGACCCCACGGATTGGAATACACAGCGACATCGCATCACAAAAAGGAAGGATCGAACAACAATACGTGCTGGGAAATCTGTGAGTGGTGCAATCTAATGAACATGTTGTGTGTACGTGGGGTGCACGATATGCTGTGTTAAAATGGGAAACTGTGCAGTCGACAAATCTAATGCTCGGGCCAACATCCCACCCACCTATCTGCGACTTGTACGATAAACTGGATTGAAGCGGTGACGCGAGGGCCGAATTCATACAGATCCATGTTTCGAGCAAGCGAGAAATGATGGGCCAGATGATTATGCGAATGGTGCCAGTGATGGCAGGGGCGAGGACAACGACGATGATCAATGATGAGTATGCTGCTGCTCATGGCGATGATGGCGACACTGGTGATGAACATGATGGTGACGATGACAATGTTGACGTGATGATGGTGGCGGTGGAACTGATGAAGATAATACGGAAGTGCGCGCCCGCGGAACAAAAACATATTGCAAACTGAAACGACATGTGGTGGTCCCGTGCTTGATCACATATACGTTGACATGTGCTTGACATGCGCCCGCGTGTGGCCCGCGTCGTCCAGCTTGACTGAATTCCCAAACCTGTAAATTATTTATACGATTTCAGCGCGTGCGCATGATCATAAACCTCGTGCTGCCATATGCCATTAGCTCGCACTTTCTGTAAAAGCAATGTCTTCAAATGGTTCGAGGGCCGCAGGTTTTGGAAGGATTTTTACACGAGCGCACGACGGCGCGATCATGTGGCCCACCTTGCAGCACTTGATACGGACCCATACAAAGCGCACGTCTTGTATCAACACTTGTGTACCGCATGGAACCATCTGACAAGGATGACGGGGGTGCCAATCCCGGCTTGGATACGTAGCACCCCGCAATTGCGGACAATAGTGAGGGGCAAGCGCGGGTTGGGACGTGGGTGGGTCGCGGGGATGGGTCGCGGGGTGGGTCGCGGGTGGGTCGCAGGTAGGTCGCGGGGCGGACGGCGATTACACCAGAGAAAAACCCTAATCAGTGGATGGTTGCCGCAGTTTCGCCGTCGGGCCCGAAGAGGCCTTATAGACTAATTCCTTCTAAATTTTGGAACGGTTGTGGCATTCCCGCCGTTTCGGGCATCCGTCGGTTCGAAACGACCGAGGCCTCAAAGATAGACGACCTCAGAGGGCCCGTCGACGGACTTCTACGGCCCCAATGCGGCCCCGCGACTGCCCGAAGTGACCGAGCAGACGACGAAAAAGTCCCAAGACGGTCCAATTGAGTCTCAAGACCGTTCCGCGGGAGCCCAGGACAATCCCGGGACGGCCCGAACGAGCTCGCAGAAGTGAGTTCGAGAGGTGCCGGACGTGACGGCGTTTTTCTGACGCCTCCTCTTGCCAATGATCATTGCCGTCAGCATCTCCGCTCATCAACATCATCATGATCATAATCAGCAGCAAGGACATCATCGTCAACATGTTCATTCTCATCATCCTGGTCGTCATCATCATCGTCGGCATTGGGGCTTCGCTGTCGTCGTCATCGCCATTCGACCAGCCGGCACCCCGATTGCTCTGCTGGCGTGGCGGTGGTATTTGCCGCAAGGCATCTAGACATTCGCGAAAAGGACTCGTACAAACACGACGGGAAGCATGCGAACACACAGGAGCTGGCGCTTAGACGCAACAGTGCGTGCGTCCTTACGAAATAGAAACATTGCGACCATACACAAACAGGTCCAACCTGTCTGGCGCAGCACACGAAGGATAGTTGAGGAAAAGGAGCGAAACAGACTGGACATGCTTTCCATCATGCGACTCCCCGTGATGATGAGCAAATGCTGCTGGTGAGTCCTAGCAACGTTGTAAGCGTAGGTGCTCTAGTGAAAGCTTCCTTTCCTCATCCGCCTCCTACTTTTCCTTCGGGGAGGGGTGTATGTCTGCTCCTTCTTGAAAGACATCCCCTCTCCCACCTGATTGGGGTCACAGTCGACACAATGATACCCCCTGCCCACCATTTCAGTCGAAAGCGATATAATCAGAGTGCACTTTGCGGCAAACTCTTGCACCTTGTGCGAGATCCCCGTGGCCACGTCTCGTCTTAATACTCCTCCTTCTCCTCTTCGTCGTTCTCCATGTCCTCATCCTCCTCCTGGTCCTCGTCCTCCTCGTCCTGGTCGTCGTCCTCGTCGTCGTCGTTCTCGTCATCCTCCTCCCCTTCCTCCTTTTCTTCGTCCTCCTCCTCCTCCTTCTCTTCCTCGTCCTTCTCCACTGCCTCCTTTTCCTAGACCTCGACATCTCCCCCTCGACCACGTCCATCTGCTCCTGCTCGTCGTCATCCTCGTTGTTTTTGTTCCTCGTTCTCGTCCGCGTCATCCTCGTCCTCGTCCTTCTCCTGCTCCTTCTCCACCTTAGCCCTCCTCCTCCTTGCTGTATCGATACTGGGATCGGTCGTGAGATCGATTGAGTGGGATCGATTGATCGAGATCGATGAGGAATTCGATTGAGTGAGATCAATCGAGCGAGATCGATTGAATGATATCGATTGTGTGAACTCACTTGAATGAGATCGAATCGGTAAACCCGCAATCGGGAGCGCGGAACCAAGAACCCGGGAACCAAACACCCGGAACCGGGAACCTGGAACCAGGAACCCAGGAACCCGGGAACCCAAAAAACCCGCGATCGGGAACGCGGAACCGGGAACCCGGGAACGAACATCCTGGAACCGAGAACCCGGGAACCCAGCGGCCCACCGAAATCGGCCGCCCACTCTCGCCAAATCCTCCAAGATCCGCGAGGAGCCCTTCAGTGCAAGCACTCACGGGGGAACAGCGACGAGAACAAACAACAAACACGCATAATCCTGGACACGGCATCCCACTTCACACGCGCTCCCAGGGACCCAGACCCGCGACTTCGTGATTTTTTCATTACGTCGACCCCTGGAGGTCTCAACCCGTTCCCCTGGAACAGTTTTTCATCCTGAGCCGTGTTTTGGCGGTCCCGAGGTCCGGTAAGGGCCCCCATGGGCGGAAAATAGCAAAAATCTTCCCGCCATGATTTTTCCCCATATCCTAAGATGGGGTTCTTGTTATTACTTGGACGCCTCCTACTCCTTCCTCTCCTCCTCTCCTATTATTATTATCCTCCTCCTCCTCCTCCTCCTCCTCCTGCTCCTCCTCATACCCAGACTTACTCATACCCAGACTTACTCATACTCAGACCTATTCATACTCAGGCCTACTCATACTCAGACATACTCATACTCAGACCTACTCATAGCAGATTGTGAGGATGTCTCAGGCTGGGCGCTGGTTTCAGCACCCCTAAGGGGAGCCGCCGAGGGGTATGACACGGTCCCGTTCGCGGCTGTTTTGTGGGGATGTCTCAAGCGATTTGCTTGTTTTCTGTCCCAACATCCTTCGCTGCCGGAGCAGATTTGGAGGATGTCTCGAGCGAGGCGCTCATTTTCACGCCCCTAATGGGGAGCCGCCGAGGGGTATGACACGGTCCCGTTCGCGGCCGTTTTGTGGGGATGTCTCAAGCGGTTTACCTGTTTTCTGTCCCAACGTCCTCGTTTTGGTGGCCAGACTCGTGGGCACAGGTTCTCCTCAGGATGCCACAGGATGCTCCAAGAGGCTCCAGGAGGCCCCTGGGGACCACATGAGGTCCCAGAAGGCATCAGAAGGCCACAGACAGACTCAAGAGGCCACAAGATGTCCCAAGAGGCTCCAGGAGGCCCCAGGAAGCTCCAGGAGGCCTCAGGAAGCCACAGGAGGCCCCAGGAGGCCACAGGAAGCGCCAGGAGACTTCGGAAGGCAACAGGAGGCCTCAGAAGGCAACAGGAGTGGCTCCAATCCTATGTATTTTACGTATGCTCCTATAGATTGGGCCTCACCTGGAGCACGAATCCTTGACGTTATACGTATGTTTCTATATATTGCCCTTCTCCTGTGAACATAATCCTAAATGTTTTACTTATGTTCCTATATGTTGGGCCTCTCCTGGGGCACGAATCTTTGGTGCTTTACGTGTGTTCCTATAGATTGCCCTCCTCCTGTGGCTCCAAACCGCAATATTTTATCTACGTCGGTTGCTGTAGATTGGGCCTCTCCTGGGGCACGAAGCCTCCCTGGAAGGACCCAGGAGGCCCCAGGAGGCCCCAAGAGGCTCCTGGAGGCCCCAGGAAGCCCCAGTAGGTTCAGGAGGCCCCAGGAGGCCCCAGGCTCATGCGCAGAGACGCGCTCGTACTACTGAGGCTCATTCACACTCCAATTCATCCGCAGTTAGGTTCTTGACCAGACCGCCACAACTGAAGCCCATTTATATTCGAAAGCCCTTGCGTCTAGACATCCACGGCGGACAGGTCCATGCGAATAGATCCACATATGGGGAGCTCCACGCAGTGAATAATTTTATTACCCGAGGGGGTCTCGGGACGGTGCAGGACCGTTCGGCCCGTTCACTCCGACATGTGCAGAAATAACCTGGCGTGGCGCCCTCCTGCCCTGGCCTCGGTGGGGGCGGGGTGAAACGCAAGCTATTGCTGGAGAAAGACCAGCACGAATAAAGGGGCCCAAGGACACACACAAAGAAACACACACACACATACACACAAGTCACAGGATTCCCCATATATTCCAATCTGTTTTTGGATGTTCGTCCTCCCCCCACTTCCCGCAGGTTCCCATATCTTCCTGAGGATCGGCGATTCATTGTGTCTGTGTGTTTCTTCCTCTCCGCGCCAATCAGCGCTGTGCAAGGAGGGGGAGGAGGAGGGCGCTGATTTTCTCTATCCGCGGACGCGTGTCGTAGCGGACTTGTGGCTCCGCGCGCGCGTGCGTAGTGGGTGGTGGTGCGCGTGCGTGCGTGCGTGCGTGCGTGCGTGCGTGTGTGGTTGTGGTGGTGGTGGTGGTGGTGGTGGTGGTGGTGGTGGTGGTGGTGGTGGTGGTGGTGGTTGAGGTGGTGGTGGGTGGTGGTGGTGGTGGTGGTGGTGGTGGTGCTGGTGGTGGTGTTGTGGTGGTGGTGGTGGTGGTGGTGGTGGTGGTGCGGCGCGGTGGTGGCGGGCGGATGGGCGCGCGAGAAAGAGGCCCGCGCTGGGGCGAGAACGCCATCCTGAACAACGGAGGCCAAACACCGCTCCGAAAATGAGGCCCACGCTGCAGCGGGAGCACGATTCGGAACGATTCGGGAGCAGAAATGAGGCCGGCGCCTCAGCGAGAGCAGCATTTTGAAAAAAACACCAGCGAAAACCCGTTTCCCGGCAATCCTGCGTGGAAAAAAACAATACGCGGGGGTGGTCGGATATCTTCGGGACGCCATCAGGGGAAGTGGGAGAGTATTTTCATATTGTGTAATTGTGCAGGAGAAGGAGAGGAGGGAGGGGAGGAGGAGGAGGAGGAGGAGGAGGAGGAGGAGGAGGAGGAGGAGGAGGAGTCAGCAGGCGCACGAGGCGCAAATCTGGGAAGCCCGGGCCAGCACACGAGGCGGACACGGGCGGGCACCCGGCGGGCGCCCCGAAGACCCCGCGGGCGCACGAGGCGGCCACGAGCTGGCCACGGGCTCAGCACCAACAGGGCGAGGAGTTGCGAGGAGCAAAGGGGGGAACTCCCTGGTGGTGTGGTCCCCCCTCTCGCTCGAGACATCCCCAGCCTCCAGCTCGGGGAGGCATCGTGGACCTCCTCGCTGGCGGTGGGCCCCCTGGTGGTGTTGGTATCCTCCCTCCTCCCTCCTCCTCCTCCTCCTCCTCCTCCTCCTCCTCCTCCTCCTCCTCCTCCTCCTCCTCCTCCTCCTCCCCATCCTCCTCCTCCCCCCTCTGCGCCTGGGACCCCCGCCAAGGCTGTCGACCCCCCCTTGGGCAGGAGCCTGAAAAAAGCGAGCCGGCGCACGAGGCGGCCGCGGGCGGGCACCCAGCGACCACCCGGAAAGCCCACCGATGTCTCGGGAAGCAAAGGGGACCCCGCAGCGCGAGCACCACCTGGAGAAGCTGGCGAGGGTCATGCGCTGGCAGTGCTACTGCAGAGAGGGAGGGCGCCGAGGCGCGGGAAGCCAAGATGCGATCCTGAAACCCACAGGAGTATCCACCAAAGGTGTGGGGGGCGAGCCAGGATGGCAAAGGGCGGCGGGAAGAAACCCGCCTCCTGGCCCTCCTCCCCCTGCTCGTTGTGACCATCCTCCTGGCACTTCCTTTGTAATCCCCTCCCCTCTGTCTTCGTCATCCTCCCTTCCGTCTTTCCATCATATTCCCCCGAGCCCTCCCGTTACAAAGACTCAACAATTACCCGCCATGAACACTACTCTGCCTCTCTCCCCTGATTCTGCCCCGAAAATAATCAGCCCTCTCCGCGTATGATTTTCTTGCACGCAAAATTGGGCGATGGCGAATCCCAACGGAAGTGTCACAATTCGATTGTTTTCGGTGTTTCGCAACAGTGCTCCAGCTGCAGCGTGGGCTTCATTTAGGGATCGGCGCTTTGCTCCCGTCGTTCAGAATGGCGCTCTCGCCCAGGCGCGGGCCACTTTGCTGGATCCGAATCAGTTTTCATCGTTGCCTCCCTCTTAATTTCCTCTCCTCCGCCTTCACGTGGCCTCCTGCTCCTCCCGCTCTTTCCACTCAAGTTCCAGCTGCGGCTGTTCGTCTTCGTCCTCCTTCTCCTGCCTCATCCTCCTTTCCCTCCTGCCCGTGCTCCTGCTCACCCGCCACCGCCTTCTCCGATGTACGCAGTCCATCTTTTCGGACTGAGCATACCACGATGGGGTCTTATTTGGAGTCGGCTATGACACGCGTCCGCGGATAGAGAAACAAGCAGCGCAATGTGAAGAGAACGGATGGAGTGATCATAAGCTGTCAGATGTGGCGCGAGCGCTTCTAGCTTTATGTGAGTACGACTCTCCTCTCTCCCCGGATCCTGTCCGACCGAGGCCCCTCTTCCATCGCATGGCTTGGCTGGGAATTTAGGAATTCACGGAGTCAGAATTCACATCTTTGTTTTTCAATCGGATCGTTTCTGGTGCTTCATCTCGTGGCTACTCTCGCTGCAGCGCCGGCTTCAGTTTGGGATCGGCACTTTGCTCGCGTTGTTCAGAAAGCACTTTCGCCCCAGCGCGGACCACAACTCTAGATCCGACTCCTCCCTACTTGTTATCGCCACGCTCCTGTCCCCTCATCCGCCTTCCCCTGGTCATCCTGCTCCTCGCACTTCTTCGGCTCCTGCTCCTGCCGATGCAATTCCTCGTAGTCCTCATCCGTCCTCATCTCAATCCTCTTCCTCTTGCTCAACCGCCGCCTCTGCTCTTTCATGATTGCGCATGGCACGATGGGGACGTTGGTGGACCCCAGGACCGCTATGACACGCGTCGGCTGATAGAGAACAGATCAGCGCAATGCGAAGGGCTGCTTTTTTTCTGGATCGCCCCTTGGGTGGGGACCTCTTAGGCAGTCCTCGGGCACTGTTAACTGTTCCCAATGCGAAGGGCTGGGTGGGCGGGGTAAGATGCCGGCGATGGCGCGAGCGCGCCTCGCCTGTCCGCTTCCTCTCTCCTCGCTGCCCCTCCCCCCTCCCCTCCTCCTTCTTGGAGGGTACACGGGGAGACGCGACGGGGGAGCAACGAACAGGGCCGCGGTTTCCTCCCGCTAACCCCCCCCCTCCCCAGGCAAGTAGTTTCGCTCGTTGCTTCCCCTGTCCAGCATACGCACAGGGAGCCTCTCAACTGCATGTCCTCCCACGCGTCTAGCCACAATCGCTCTCCAGTCGCCACAATCGCTCTCCAGTCATCCAATCATTGAGCTCACGAGCGCCTCGATGCTCAACCCCGATCTGAATACACTGCCAGTATCACACTGCCCGCGTGGATTCCATTCTATTTGCGCCGCACCTTGGCTTATTGTATGTACCTCGTCACTGCCTGCTCTCTCCAGCCCTACTTCATTCAAAAAGGCCGCGCTGGCTTGATGTCGTAAGCGCCAGGTCCAGGAACAGGAAACTCCTCGCATTGACACTTGCATGTCAGATCCTCTGGCGCCTCTGAAATTGTATACAAGCGATCGCCGAAGCCACCCGAGGCAATCAGCACGTGGCAGAGAGCAGCACGAACATCCTTACAAGATTCTCTCATCCAATCAGTAGCGGCGTGAGACACGCTGACCCAAAGGGGCGCCTGCTACAATGGCAAAACAAACAGCCTCCACGGCGGACGCCGGAACCCTCCGCCTCAGCCTCCTCCTCTTCCTTCTTCTCCTCCTCCTCCTCCTCCTCCTCCTCCTCCTCCTCCTCCCCATCAACTCTCTGAGGCAAACAAAGATCCTGGGGCGGGAATGGCGTTGTACATGACACTTTCCCGCTTATGACCCTGACGCTTGACACCCCACAGGCCCTCTGAGGGGAGGAGGTTGATAACAAATCTGCCCTCTACAATCCTCCCCGCCGAGCCCTAAATCTTCAGTTTAAGCAGGGTTCGAGCTTGTCTGGGAGCCTATTCGCCTGCTAGATCGTCCAGGTGCCGCCCAGATCCCGCGAAATCTGCCCAAGTTGGCCTTCCAACTGGTCGTGGATGGCCTCGAAACGATTCAGCCAGCCTCGAGACGGACCACGAAGCTCCCAAAGCGCCTGGAAGATCGAGCAGACAATCGAAGAGAGCTCAAAAAGCAAGCTTCAAAAAGGCCTCCAGAGGCAAATTATTATTCTACGCCGTAGAGTTCGAACTAATTTCGGGCCATCTTCTTCTTCTCAGGCATCAGAGCGCCCCAAGACAGCCCCTACGACTTCCAATCCCAAACCAAGAAGTCCTCAATACGACGGAATCAAATCCCCGAAACCGTCGCAGACGGCTCCCAGACGGCTCACGAGAACCCCCAGGCGGCCCCATACGTAAGTTTCCAAGAAGCGCCCAAGAAAAACTATATGCGAAGTCAGCGGGGCAAGGATGGCCCCCCAAACCATCGTCGTGTTCCTGACATGCCAGCGAGGCGCCCCGAGGAGGCCCCCAACACGCTTCAATAGCCGGACGTCCACGGCCCTGGGGGCCCCGCCACCAAATAGTCAAAGATGACCACCCAAAGCTTCAAACGGCTTCGTCGTCGACGTCACCGCCCTTCGCCTGCCATTATTTACCAACCATCCTGTGGTGTTGGGTCCTCGTTTTGACGAGACAGCGCCCCGCGTCTCCCACCTCCTCTCCTCCTCCCCATCCTCCCTCCTCCCGTTCGCGCTTCTGTTCTCTGCATGCCCACCACACGCTTCGTGGCCCGATAATGAACTCCACCCAAGGCCCAAATGCCACCGCTCGCATGCGCCCCACACCCAATTCGGCACACCCCTCACACGCTTCGTGGCCCCATAGGGAGCTCCACACAAGGCCCAAATGCCACCGCTCGCAAGCGTCCGCCACACCTATTTCGGCACACCCCTCACACGCTTCGTGGCCCCACAAGGAGCTCCACCCAAGGCCCAGTAACACCGCCCGTACGCGGCCGCCACACCCATTTCGGCACACCCCTCACACGCTTCGTGGCCCCATAGGGAGCTCCACACAAGGCCCAAATGCCACCGCCCGCAAGCGTCCAGCACTCCCATTTCGGAACGCCATTCACACGTTTCGTGGACCCATAGGAAGCTCCACCAAAGGCCCAAGTGCCACCGCCCGCATGCGTCCACCGCACCCATCTCGACACACCCCTCACACGCTTCGTGGCTATATGGAGTTCCACCGAACGCCCCACTGCCAACGCCCGCATGCGTCCGCCACGCCTATTTCGGCACCCCCCTCACACGCTTCGTGGCCCCGTAGGCAGCGCCACCAAAGGTCCCACTGCCACCGCCCGCATGCGTTCGCCACGCCCATTTCGGCACACCCCTCACACGCTTCGTGGCCCGATAATGAACTCCACCAAAGGCCCCAGTTGCTCCACATGGCTCCCCACCACATCTTTCGGCATACCCCGCACACGTTTCGTGGCCCCATGGGGAGCCCCACCGAAGGCCCCAATGACACGCCTCAAGCACTTCGTGGCCCCATGGGGAGCTCCACCGAGCAGCGCCAGTGGCAGGGCCCGCATCCCCCCCCGCCCATTTCGGCACTCCCCTCTCACGTTTCGTGGCCCAAAGGGAACCCCACATAAGACGGCATCTACAACTGCGGTTCTCACAACCGCACATGGTTGTGTTTTTCGCCAGGCTACTTCTGAGTTTCCTTTACGCTCTCCTCCTCCTCCTCCTCCTCCTCCTCCTCCTCCTCATTATACTCCTCCTCCTGCTCCTCCTCCGCCTCCAGCTCGCGTTGCTCCTTCTCCTCCCCCCAGCGCTAGTCCACTCACTCTCGGGGCAGCCGCCGCCACGCCTTAGCTTTAGGCTGGGTGTGGGTGGCGCTTTCTCTGGTTGGGGCCGCTCCCCCACCCTACGGCCCCGCGTTTGAAGATTCACCCTCGCATGGGCGCTGGCCGCGCCGAGCTCGGGCGATGGGCGGCCGCCTCGGATTGTGCTTGTGGTGAATCCTCGATGGCAGGGTGTCCCTCACACCGCGTGCTGGGCTCGGGAAGGCCGGCGTGACATCCTGTGCGTTCAGCCGCTCGAGGGTGCTGCAGGGCTTGGACAGGTGCTCTGCGGCCTCCTTCTGACTGGCCTCCTTTGATTGGCGGCTGTGCGTTCCCTTGCTGATGTTGCAGAAACCATCGTCCTCCTCCTCCTCCTCCTCCTCCTCCTCCTCCTATCTCCTCCTCCTCCTATCTCCTCCTCCTCCTCCTCCTCCTCCTCCTCCTCCTCCTCCCCCTCCTCCTCCTCCTCCTCCCCTCCTCCTCCTCCTCCTCCTCCTCCTCCTCCTCCTCATCCTCCTCCTCCTCCTATCTCCTCCTCCTATCCCATCCCCACCTCCTCCTCCTCCTGCTCCTCATCCGTCTCGTCCTCCGCCTCCTCCTCCTCCTCCTCCTCCTCCTGCTGCTCCTCCTCCTGGGAACAGCTTGCGCTAGACCAGGGCCTGGCTCATTGCGACCAGGGGCTTTTTTGCAAAACTATTAGGGTTCGTCTGGTCCTGGGGCCCCTTCTCCTGGCTCACCTGGCCAGTGCCTCCTGTTGGGGGGGAGGAGATCCTTAGATAGCTTGGCGATCGCCCTTTCACCAGCGTCCGTCGGACGCTGGCAAACCTTCCCCCGATTATTGAAGCGCAAGTGCCCCGAACAGCCATACACACCTCACACCACCAGAGCCCGCGTAAACACCGCATCTTGTGTGACCCGTGGGCCTGGTGGGGAAAGCCCGCAGCAGAAAAGGAGCACAACCATGAATTCAACGAAAGGGCTCTGGTGGGTGCCGTTAGACACCGCTGGCAGAAAGAAACTCCATTCACACGGACTGAAAGCTGATGGGCTGTGGCTTCACGGGCATTCAATCGAGCGGCCACCCTCTCATCTTGTCGGGCCCGCTTCGCTGCCACTGAACCTCCAGGGGTTAAAATCCCTGGCGCATGAGCATCCGTATCCCGAACTTTGGCCTCCTCGAGGCCGACAACACGCAGGTGGTCCAGAACGCGGGAGGCCAAATCGCCGACCCGAGCAACCTCGGCCAAACCGTCCTGGGGAAGACGGGCTAAGGCTGCTCCGCGCTTGGCCGCAAGGTCGGACGCTTCATTCACTCTAAACTCTGCTTCCCCCACTTGGTCGCCGATGCCAGCCTCAATGGGGTGACTCTTGATCTTACGGAAAAGGGGCCTCTTCAGGGCCCTGGTGATGCTCATGCCAGAAACGGGCCCGGACTGCAGCGTACAGCTGTTTGCGGCGTTTCGGTGCTCAAATTTGCTGTTTGCGGCGTTTCGGTGTTCAAATGTGCCGTTTGCGGCGTTTGAGTGCTGAAATTTGCTGTTTGCGGCGTTTCGGTGCTTAAGTGTACCGTTTGCGGCGTTTCGGTGGGGAAGAACATCACCTGGGCCATCCGGGATCGCTTCCAAGACGTAAGCACAACCAACCACACAAAAGCTCCAGGGCCCGAGCTCTGACGCAGGGCCTGGGCCACGCCTTCCACTTCAGCGAGGGGCACCGCCTGGCGCCTTCCGAGGATCGGTCCGCAGGCAGCCCCTCGTACACCCCAGTTAGACCAAACTGCGAAGCCCCATCCACATCTACGAAGCCTCGATCACCTCCACTCCCATCAGCTCCTACAGAAGCCCCTGGGGGTAGCTCTAGGCGAACTCCTTCCTCGATACCCCCTTCCGCCTGCAAATCCCAGTCTGGCAATTTGGCCGCGCGCGGGTCAATCCACATCACTGGGGCGAGTCAATGGTGCCAGAAACATGGCCGGTCCTCGTGCTCCCCTCCTCCTCCTCCTCCTCCTCCTCCTCCTCCTCCTCCTCGTCGTCCTCCTCCTCATATTTCCTCCTCCTGTCTCATCGTCCTATATCCTCTTCCTGTCTCTCCTTCTCCTCCTCCTCCTCCTCCTCCTCCTCCTCCTCCTCCTCCTCCTCCTCCTCCTCCTCCTCACCCCCCACCTCCTCCTCATTTTCCTCCTCCCCTTCCTCCTCCTACTCTTCCTCCTCCTCCCCTTCCTCCGTCGTCTCATCCTCCTTCTCCTCCTCCTCCTCCTTTTCCTCCTCCTCCTGTTCCTCCTCCTCCTCCTCCTTCTCCTCCCTCTCCTCCGCCGTCTTCTCCTCCTTCTCCTCCTCCGTCTTCTCCTCCTGAATGCTAGGACAATGTTTTCTTGGAATGTCCCGCGCTGCTGACCCGCCCCTCCGCAGGGCAGATACGACCCATGGAGCAGGAGCCGACGGACCATGTCCAAGGCCTGCGACAAGCGCAGAAGCAGGGCTTCGGCGACCTACGCCAGCAGGTTCACGACCACCTCGAGAGTCGGGCCGACCCGACCCTGCCGTCCTACACCTGCGCCCAGCAGCCCAGCACCATGGAGGCTGGACGCGCAGAGTGTCCTCTGTGCGCCTGATGCGCCATGCGGGCATGGCGGCCCCGAGACAGCGACACTAACGCTGAATGACCGTGGTATCTTCCACCCCCCCCCAAGTGCTGGCTGAGGTGCGCGGTCAACTTATCCAAGCGGGTCTTTGATCAGGCACGCCGAACTTCGAGCAGTCCTACCTCGTTTTTGGCATACCCGAACCTCCCGCCTTTCTGCCACGCGAAGATACGCGGAGGCATGATGTCTGCTTTTGGGGCGACGCCCATGGCGTTTGGGGCCCCGTTTCTTACACAGGCGGGTCTGGTTACGACTCAGGTGTTCCCGAGGTGCGGAGGTGTGGACAAGCAGTTGTGCAGCTTGATCCTTACTCTGGGCTCCCAGTTAGGGCGCGGTTCGGGCCCCTTCCGTACTTGGTGCAGACTGTCGGCCGTGCTGGGAGGTACGCGATCAGGGAGGGGCTCGACGCTTTCCCAGACCACCAACGCTTCGTCGCCGACCTGCTGGCGCTCGCCCAGGAAGGAGAGCGTTGGTGCCCCGAGCTCGAGCAGGGTCGTGCCAAGCGTGCTAGGGCGTGGCGGGGCATCTTCGTGGCCAGCCGCAGGCGCACTCTGCGGGGCCCTCCCAAGTTCCGATGAACGCTAGCGCACAGGTCCTTCGAGGAGCTCGTGGGCACAGGGCCGCAGGAGCTGCTAGGCAACGGCTGGGGAGACGGTTTCGCGCGCTGCGGTGCGGCCTCTCACGCACTGTCTGGGCCAGTAGCCGAGGCGGTAACAGCTGCGCCGAAACCGCACCGCAAGGTCCCGCAGTTCATTTCGTGGGCGGCACTGCAGGTGGTGGTTCGCGCACGACGGGGATGCGACGTGGAAGTAAGTCCCCAGGCCACCATGCGAGCAGGCCAGGCCCATTGTGGTGGCACGCAGTGCGGGCCATGCCCTTGCTTACTGCGCCAGCCTCGGGCGGTGCCGATGCACGCAATGCGGAGTCACGGCCGCAACGGGCTCCTCCCTCGAGCCGCTGCAAACTGGCTCTCATCGTGTGTGTCGCCCTTCGCGCGTTGCCAGTGCTCTCAACGCCGGGTACTTCCGCGCCTTCGGCGAGGGCTGGGTTCTCTGCTGCGACCAGAGGGCTGGCATGGCCCTGGGCACGGCCTTGGCGCTCAAGGGGAGCTCGCAGCCCTCGGCCCCCGCAGCCTTGTTGCCACCTGCCCTGGCCGAGGAGGTCGGGGACGCCTTCGCCGCGCTTGGGCACGACGTGTTCAGGGGCAACAGTGTTTACTGTTGCAGACGCTGCGGGTCTCACTGTGCTGCGGGAGATGTCCGCACAGTGCGGAAACTTGGCTTGAGGTGCGATGGGTTCTCGCCCGACGAGTCCACGCGCCGCAGCCAGCAAGATGCGATCAGGCGCGTCGAGAAGGGTCTGGCGCCTCGTGCCCGACGTACCCCAGCAGCGCCGCTCCCGCAGGGTGGCTCCTCTTGCAGCCACGCGGCGCGATGATCGACCATGTCGTGGTTCGCTGCCGTTCCGTGTTCGGCTGGTGGCACGGCGTCATCTTCGGCTGCGACGCCTCCTTCGTCGGCGGCAAGTTGGCCTGCGTCCACGGCCTTGAGGGCGTCTTCTTCCAGCTGCTCTCCTTCTACATTGTCTCCTGCTCTTACGGTACCGTGCCGTGAGTAGGTGGCGCCAGGGGGTAGTCCGTCGCGCGCCCGCGTGCGCGGCGGGAAACCTTCTTGAGGCGCTGCGCTCCTCCCCGTCCTCCCTTTCTCCTCCCTCCCTCCCTCCCTCCCTCCCTCCCCCCTCCCTCCCTCGCTCCCTCCCTCCTCCTCCTCCTCCGCCTCCTCCTCCTCCTCGTCCTCCTCACTCTTCCTCCTCCCCCTCTTCGTCCCTCCTCCTCCTCCTCCTCCTCCTCCTCCTCCTCCAACCCCTTTCCACCCGTTTCGACATCACTTGCCCCCCCTCCCCCCGCGGATCCATCGGGCGAGTGGCGATTGTTATCGCATTCGGGGTAGAGGGCTCGTGGATGGAGTCAGAGAACATAGGGTCGGAGGGCCCATCGAGCACGTCGGCGATGGCTTAGAAACAAGCAGACCAAAAAAAAAACATGCACCCAGAAACCATCCATAGAAGTGTCCCGTGCGAGGCTTCCTGGGGTGCGACGTGGCCAAGGCTCCCATAATCCAGGAAATCCAGCCGTGGCCACGAGAAGCCCAGCGGGGATGCTCAACTGAGATACGACAGCTCCAGACACCGGCTCTTGGGGACAGCAGCAGGTACAGATACCGCTACTCCCTCGCCTCTCTTGGGGCAAGTTCTGGCCAGCATCTCGAGGCGAATCCAGCGGTGACGACGAGGGCCTCCCAGGAGGCCCAGGCAGAGGAGAACGAGACAAGGGTAGCGTAGTGGATGCCACGACAATGGACACCCTAACAGTCCTATCATCGAGTAAAACATGTCTGAAATGTCGGAGAATGTCCTAAGCATGCTTAAAGCATGTTTTTAACATGTTCAAAGCATGTTTGATACATGTTTTACATGTTTTAGACGTCTGGAACTATTTGGGAACAGGCTTCGTCTCCATCGATCGCCCTCCACAAGTGTAGCGGTCTCGGTACCTGCTCTTCCTCTCTGGAGGCCGGGGTCCCCGCCAGGCTGCCCTGCGAGTCCTGCGCGGTGTCCCTGCTGATCCCGCGCCCGATGAGGGCGCCGCGTGCGCCCTGGATCCTCCCCTCGCAGGTGGACGCCGCGGGCCGCGCCGACTGCGGCCTGGCGAGGGCCGGGTTGGCGTCGTCGGCGACGACGTCGTCGTCGTCAACGTCGCTTTTTCTTCCTGGTCGTCGTCGAAGATCACTCGTCGTCGCTCCTCCTGCTCCCTCCTCCTCCTCTTCCCGCTGCTCCCTGACCTTGCCCTCGGCCACGGCAGGTCGATGATGTCCCCAGGCATCCTCGAATCGACTGCTCGGCTTGATGTGAGCGCCTGCTGCTCTTCATTCCTTGCTTCCGCTCTCCCGCCTCCTCCCTCTTCCTGCTTCCCCTCCCTGGAAGCTGTCATCTGCTTCCGATGGCACAACTGCCGCCGCTTTCGTGCAACAAAGAATGAGTCACAGAGGGACGACGTCTCACCCAGACCCAGCACGAGACATCGCCATCCCTGGGTTCTATCAACTGAGCACGCGCCGCCGCTTTCGGTAGCTCCTCGGATGTCCACTGGGGAGACGTCCTCTGCAAACCCAAACGAGACCATCCCTGGGCGCCACCAACAGCGCAACTGTCGCCGCTTCGTGTCCAGCGGAGTGACGTCCTCCGCATACTCAAACGGGACCTCGCCCCCTGAGGTGTTGCCAACTGCGCACACCACTTCCGTGAGTGCCCGGGAGAACCAGCGGAGTGGCGTCCCACGCAGATACAATCGAAACCTTGCCTCCCTTGGTGCTGCCAACTCCGCAACTGCCGCCGCGATCGTGGGTTCTATCTCGTCGCCGCGAGGTAATCAGCGACGTCGGTTGCAAGATCGACGGCGACATGAGCGGGCTCTAGTTGCACCTGTACGTCATGCTTTCCAGGGCCACGACGCTGGTCACTCAGTTGAGATCCGCGGACTGGGTCCGGAATTTCTCTCCGTAGGGCTGGCAGTGGACCGGGCGGCCCGCCTGCGGCCTTGTAGTGCCCGCGCGAGTTGGGCAGGTCCCATGGGGCGCGCAACACATATGCATCCGACCCAGTTTTCACACGAGAAGGCAAGCACTCTCAAATCATCCGTCTTGGATGGGCCAGTTGATGTTTCCACGCCCTGTATATGGGTTGAGTGCGTAGACGGGTTGGGTACGTCCTGTGTGCGTGTGTTCGCGGGTTCCCCACACAATGCTTGCAATCAAGTGCGTGTGTTCTTCCCGCTGCCTCTAATGAACTGGACGAGTCCGCCGAGGTCTTGCCACGCTTCCGCCCGTGAGCGTCTCGTGGGCTCCCTGCGCCGGGTGGGTCCGCCGAGGTCTCGCCACGTTGCCGACCGTGGGTGCCTCGTGGGCGCCCCGTGCGCCGGGTGGGTCCGCCGAGGTTTCGCCGCGTTGCCGCCCGTGGGCTCTTCGCGGGCGCCCCTTGGGTTCGCCAAGGTCTCGCCACGTCGCCGCCCCTCTCCGGCGCCTTGTGGTCGTCCCGCGCGTTGGGTGGGTCCACCGATGCCTCGCCACGTTGCCGCGTGGTCACGCCGTGCGTACACCACAAAACTCACACCACATAGAGTTCACCACGCAAAATTACATCGCCAACCTCGCACATCAACCTCACACCTCATAGATGACCCACATAGATTGCACCATCTATCTCACACTTTATATGTTCTCTGTTCGAAAGGAAAAGAATTAACGCTGCAACCATTTCCCCCCAGACATATTGGCACAGCGTGGGATGCAATAAATGACATATGATGATGCCGCCACGTTGATTCCCATATCAGTTTACACAATCCCATACAAGCTGTGTCGCCCCCCTCTCATCCAAGTCAGATACTACTCTGCCCGCAGACTCCTTCATCGCAAGAATCATTGTTCAATAACCCTGTTGCAAAGGGTACACAGTCCACACACGCTTACAAATGTCGAAATCATACAGCACACCAGCTCGGCAAACAAAACAACGCATTCAAATGAAAGTCACCCAAGTTTTTCCATTCCTCATGTTCCACATGTTCTGCCCGCGCGCACTTGCTGAACTCATGGGGGAACCATGTGTGTGTGTTACTAATCCCGCCCACACCCGCATTCTCACCTCACCGCGCGGTGCGTCCGCGTTGATCCAGCATGCGCCCAGCACGTCCGTATCAAATCGCACCATGCGGGCAACGCGTGCGCGCCGCCACGCGCGCGTCAAATCATTCCGCATAAATGGATACCCGCCGCATCTCCGAAACTATCTCTTCAATACCTTATGAAACCCATATGCGCTTTAACGAACAAATCTTGGTCTTCTGCGCGCGCACTTCCTCACCATCACCTTCATCAACACCGCCTCATCATGTCATCGTCGTCGGCACTTGCCGGACATGCAGCCACCACCACTCAAACACCTTCATTATCGACAAGGGCATCATCATCATCGTCACCGGGCCGGGGTTACCAGCATCGGCGCCGTCATTGGCCTTGTCGTCATCATCATCATCATCAACATCATCATCATCGTCATCATCATCATCATCATCATCATCGTCATCATCATCATCAGCATCGCCACCAGAATCGCCACTATCATCATCGTGGCCATTGTTGCCGACGCCACCATGAGACTGCGCCCACCCGACTCACCGACCCGCAATGGAGCGCCCGTGCGCCAGCGCGGCTTTCGAAACGCGTTGGGGACTTGCTTGCCGCGAGTACTCGCCATCGTGCCCGCATCGGCTATGCCAAACCAGCTGGACGCTTGCGCGCGCTCTGCGCGCGAGCTTGCGCGCGCAAGCGCAGCCGCAGAGATGCGCCAGCGGGGGCCAAGCAGTCACCGCAATCGAGGCCGCATAGGCTGTGCCAAAAAAAGTTGCGAGTGGAAGGGCGGAGTGATTACTCCGTAATTCCCCGTTCAAGAAATAGACTCCCCCACCCCGATGTGCGCCAATGCCCGTGGATAGCAAAAAGGAATGGTCCAACAACCCCTTGCGACAAAGAGCGCACTGTCCACACGCGGGCGCATATCGGAATCATGCCCAACACGCCAGTTTGGAAAACATTTCAACACAACGATATCACATGCCCTCAAGTTGCCCAAGACATGTACCGCAGATGCTGCGCCCTCTCGCTCTTGTCGACCTCGCAAACAAACCATATCAATGTTGCGACCTCCTCCAGAGCCCGCAACATATATCCCACCACGAGGTGCATCCGCGTTGATCCAGCACGCGCACAATGCACGAACCCGTATCAAAGAGTACCGTGCGGGCCCCACGCGCGCGCCACCACGCGCGCGCGTCGAGATCCTCCCGAAGCCGTTGGGCCCCGAAGCAATTCACAAACAAAAGCCCTTCAAACCTTATGGACACCATATGCATTTCAGCATGGAGGTTGTCTAATGTATTGCAATTATGTTCGCGCACTTCCTCGCCATCACCCTCATCAGCGCCACGTCGTCACGTCATCGTCGTCGACGATCGGCAGCTCTGCCGCCGCCGCCATTACAGCACCTGCATCACCGTTACATGGACATCATCATCGTCACCGGGGTTACCAGCATCGGCGCCGCCATTGGCCTTGTCGTCGTCGTCGCTCCAACACCATGTCTACTATCATCACCGTCGCCGCCGTTGTCGGCGTCATCATGATAGAGCGCCCGCCCGAACCGCCGACCCGCACTGAAGCGCCCGCGCGCCCGCGCGGCTTTTGAGACGCGCTTGGACGTTGCCATCAGCAATTAACTGCCAACGCGGCCACGTCGGCGGTACCAGGCCAGCCGACAGCTCTGAGCGCAAGCTTGTGCGGGCGAGCGCAGCCGCAGAGAAGCTCCAGCCAACGCCCAGTAGTCACCGCAATCGTGGCCGCATGCATTGCGCAAGACAAGTTGCGGGCGAGAGGGTGGGGCGATTGGTCGCACACTGGAGTTGACGACGTCAAGCTCTGCAAAATGAACTCTCTGCTTCCAGCGAGCATTCACTCGACCGCCCCCACCCAGCCCCCGGGGTTACCAACGCCCCGTGGTGCATTGCAGACTACACATGGTCCTGCCCCGTCCTTCGCTTTCCATATGCACCCACCCCGTTCCAGCTAGGCCAGTTACCTTCCCCCCTTTTATTATCTCGTCCTTATCTACTATACTGTTCGCGGGCATTCGTCTATCGCAGGACAGTTCTTGTCATAAAGTGCATTGCAACAAATGGCGTAACACTCACATGCGCTCACATGTCGAGATCATGCCAAGCACACCAATTCCACAAGAATTTCAATCTACGAACGTAGAAACCTTGCAGGTTTTCCATCGCACACCTTGCGATTTTCTGCCCGCGCGCACCTGCTGAACTCACCGGCGCAGCATGCCAATATAACCATGGCCCATGTTGCATGATCGCTACTGCTTCGCCGTGGGCCCGGGGCCATTGGCGCCGCCGAGGAGGAGGAGGAAGATGAGGATGGGGAAGGGGAGTGGAGGAGGAGGAGAGGATGAGGAGGAGGAGGAGGATGAAGATAAGTAGGAGGAGGAGGAGGAGGCCCAGTACCCACGTTCTCATCTCACCACGCGGCGCATCCACCTTGATCCAGGATGCGCCTTGAGCGCGAAGCCTTACCACACATCACCATGCGGGCCACGCGCGCGCGCCGCCACGCGAGCGTATCGAAACCATTGTTTTGTTTTTAAGCATTTTTTCGTAATTAGGCAAAACAAGGCTCTACGAAAACGTACGGAAACAACTACATGCCTCCCGGCCCTAACTTCGCAACGGCTCTTGCACTCCCGCGCGCGCAATTCCCAGCCATCACCGCCGCATCACGCCATCGTCACCGACAGTCGCTGGAATTGCAACCACCACTACCCGAACACCTTCATTCTCGCCACATGGACACCATCATCGTCATTGGCGCTACCAGCATCGGCGCCGTCATTGGCGTCGACGACGTCATCGTCATCATCGCCACCACCATCGCTACTATCATCATCGCTCCCACCGTTGTCGACGTCATCATGATGCCGCGCCCGCCAGACAAAAACGGCCGAACGCCAGCGCAGCCTTTGACACGCGTTGGAAACTTGCCATCGATAAACACTATCGCGGCCGCATCGGCTGTGCCAAACAAGCTGGCCGCTCTGCGCGCGAGCTTGCGCGCGCCAGTGCGGCCGCAGAGATACGCCAGCCGAGGCCAAACAGTCATCGCAATCGTGGCCGCATGGGTTTTGCAAACCAAGTTGCGGGTAGGTGTGGGGTGATTGCGACAGCAGTGGGGTTGACAACTAATGGGTTGGCAACCGTTCGTTGCAACGCTTGGATTGCACCAAATGGATTGCACCCCGTAGCTCATGTCATATAGATTCTCTTTTTTCAGGAGGAGAATAGAGCTTACCACCCTCTCCCCCTGGACTGATCGGCACCCCGCGGAACACCGCAAGCCCATACCATCCCATACTGGCTGGGTATCACCCTATTTCTCGTCGGTCGCAATATATCATTGTACAGCAACCCCGTGGAAACATCTGCACACCCGCCACACGGGCGGGCAATTGTCGGCATCATACCAGGCACCTGCGATTTGCAAGAGTTTCAAAACAGCGACAACAGTCTTGTGGATTTCCGACACAAAGCTTGCAATTGTTGTGCCAACACATATGTTCTGACATCGTACGGACACCATGCGATTCCAGCACATCGTCCAGACACCACCATCTCATCTCACCACGCGGTGCATCTCGGGGATGGACAGACCCCCTTTAGTAAAACGTGGTTTAGTGAAAACGACCTCGGGCCCAAACCTGGCGGGCGCAAGCCTGGAAAATAACGGCCGCGGCGCCCTCTCGAGAACCGAAAACGGACAATTCACTAATCGACGTGTCACTGTTGGGGGTTCTGTCCACCCCCGAGCATCTGTGTTGACACAACATGCGCCCAGTGCGCGAATACGTATCACATACTACCATGCGGGCCACACGCGCGCGCCGCCAAGCGCGCGTCGACCTCGTTAGAAAACCAACGGTTCTCGAAGGAAGCATGTCAAACTAGAGCGCTTCAGAAAACATGAAAAAACAACATGTTGGGCAGAAGCTAGGCGCGCAGAAAACTCAGAACCTAGAAACATGAAGCTCTGAGTTTTAGAACCAAAAAAGCATGTTTTCTAGAAAACTCAGTTGCTAGTTTCATTTTTCTAGAAAGCTGAGTTTTGAAGCTAGGAGTTGTTCATGTTTCATGTTAGTGTTCTAGAAAGTTAGAAAACTAGACGCTTCAGACAAGTAGTGCAACAAAGGTATTGCAAGATGTCTTGGATTTCTGCGCGCGCACCTCCCCGCCATCCACCGCACCAGTGACGCCGCATCACGCCAAAGGCGTCGGCAACGGCTCCTAGTGCCACAATCATCACTCAAACACCTGCAACGCCGACGCACGGACGTCATCATCGTCATCGGCATCATCAACACCGGTGCCGTCATTGGCCTTGCCGTCATCAGCGCCATCACCATCGCCACCACCATCGCTAATACAATCATCGTTGCCGCCGCTGTCGACGAGACCGCGCCCGCCCGAGCCACCGACCCGCATTGAAGCGCTCGCGCGCCAGCGCGGCCTTTGACACGCGTTGGGAATTCGCCATTGGTAAGCGCCATCGCGGCCGCATCGGCTCTGTCAAACAAGCAGGCCGCTCTGCGCGCGAGCTTGCGCGCGCCATTTCGGCCGCAAACATACGCCAGCCAGAGCCAAGCTGTCATCGGAATCGCGGCCGCATGGGTTTTGCGGGTGCGAGGGAGGATGATTCGCGAGTGCTGGTTGACAACTCATGAGTTGGTAAAACAAGCTTGCACTACATATAGCACCACATAGACGACACCGGCGGACGACGACGGCGCCACGACTACGAGAACGACGGTCTACAACGACCAAGGTCCGCTCAAAGCCTGTCCACAGATTCGTTTCGGGCAACATCCCGACCAGTTTTCCGAGCTGGTCCCAACCTGGTAACAAAAAAACTCCCGAAACGCCCAGAAACCCCGAAAACGATGACGACGACTCCCGCCTGAGGCCCGCGTTCTGACAAGAATCCCGAGGCGCATCCAGCTGTGGCCACGAAGGCTCCCATAAAAGTCTTATAAGGCGCGTAAAAGCACCCGCCGACGATCGGCCCTCGCGCCTCGAACCTCGACGGCGACGACGTCGATCGATCCTCGATCCTCGATCCTCGAACCTCGATCGATCATCGCCCTCGAGGCGCGACCCTCGACCCTCAATCGACCCTCGACCGATCCTCGAACCTCGACGAATACGACGACGCCGTGGCGCGCCTCCGCGTCGGTGGCCCCTTCAGGAAGGGCGCACCCCCGCCGCGCTCCGCTCCCGAGCTCAGCGACCACGCGGGCTTCCGGTCCGTCGTGGCCTTCAGGGACGGGTTGTACCTGGCTCTGTGCTGAGCTTTCTTTGCCCAGGACCCCGATGCACACATGCACGTGCTGTATGACTGTGTCTGTAGTAGACGAGCGAGGTTCCACTACTCGCAGAGTAGCTACTCGCAAAGGGCCTGGATCCGCCGCGGGGAATCTGCGATAAATGACATCGAGCCAGGCATTTGTTTTCTGGCGTTTGCGAGCAGGCACTTTGCGAGTTGTGGAACTCGCTCGGTGATATAGGTATGTACATCTGTATATGTGTGCGCGGGTCTGTATATACGTAAGCACATGCAAAAGCATGTGTGTACACACATATCCGCCACTGTGCCTGCACAGCTGGGCACGGATTAGACGTGCTTTTTTTCAGCTCAAAGAAATCGCTTGAAGGTTCGCACGCTTTGCCAATATCGACCTGCAGGTCACGGAAGCGATACACAGGATTCCCTCTGTGCAACACCCAGGTCAAGAGGAGGAGGAGGAGGAGGAAGAGAAAGACCAGGCGGCCCAGGAGGAGGAGGAGGAGGAGGAGGAGGAGGAGGAGAGGAGGAGGAGGAGGAGGAGGAGGAGGAGAAAGACCAGGCGGCCCACGCGGGTGACCGCGGCAAGTGAAGTTGCGATTACAACTCCGCGCGGGCCCAATCGGCAAGCACTAAGCTGGAGCACCACCTGAGGTGGGAAGGCCAAGAGGAGGAGGTGGAGGAGGAGGAGGAAGAGGGGGAGCAACAACGTAACAACGATGCCAATGCACATGTATTAAACCGTGGTGTGCACATCCCCTGAGGATCTGACCGATCAATCATGTAACCGGGCAACAAAAGACACTAATTAGGGAGCGTCAACACAATACGCGGTCATTGGTAGGAGTGTTCCCCAATTCCTAATACACCACAACGGGGAAACGAGAGAGAGAGAGAGAAGGAGAGGGAAAGATAGAGAGATAAAAACAAAAAGGCAAGTAACACATCATTCACTGTGTCACTATGTTCTGAGCTGGGGCCGCAACACCACAACGATTCGGGACGGCCCCGCTCGGAAACGAGGCGGGGGCGGCGCCAAAAGAGGGAGCCAGCGCCCACATGCACGCCCAGACCAGGCGAAAGCGCCTCCTCAACCCACGAAGCAACTTCACATCAGTTTAAGCACGACGTGCACGAGTGGAGAGAGAAGGGGAGAAAGCCTCAGAAGCCGATGACGATAAAGAAAACCAACAACATCGCCTACAATCGTAACGTAGCTGTCTGTCCGGCTCGCCTCGCCAACCACAACGCCCCAACGCACACGTACCTGGAACCCGTCATGCTGCACCAAATGCACGTTGTCCAGCTCATGATCCTTCTGCACTTTGTGCCCGTCGTGCTGCACCTGGTATTCGTTGTGATGCGCCGGCCTGAGTTCGAGTGTAACGGTCTGGGCGTCCATTCGCCCAGGGACGGCGCAACAAAGTAGAACCATGCTGAAGATATGACCCACCCAATTGAGCGCTACTGTGGTACAGGTATCGTTGTGGGAGTTCGGGTCGGCGACCCCGACGAGTCTGGAGTCGGGACAGGAATCAGAGGCGGGGTGCGCAAAGGACAGACGAAGCGGGCGTCTGAGTTGGGGCCCGGGCCACCGTCAGGGCCCGCCGAGAGCGGGGCGGGGCCCAGAATCGGATCCGTAGTCGGAACGGGTGCTGTCAGGATTATCGGTAGAAAGTGACTACCTACCAGACCACCCCAACCCAACCCGAAGACCCCAATTTCGGGGCGGGGGGGTACGGGTTCCATATGTGTTTTTTCCATGTTCCCCGACCCCCCCCAACTGGAAATGGAGGGCAGATTGAGGCCTTCGGGTTGGGTTGGGGTGGTTTGGCGGGGGGTGAGAAAGACGGAGCTAGAGTCCACGGCAGCATCACTGGCGGCGTGCCCGACGATGTGAGTGTCACTGGCCGAAGCGGCGTCGGGGAGTCCGACGGAACAAAACCCGGAGCCAACGTCGGTCCTGGAATCGGAGGCGGGGCACTGGAGCCGGAGCTGGCATCGGAGGCGGGGCGTGAAAGGGCAGACCGAGCAGGTGATGGAATTGGAAGGAGGAGTCAGAACTGAAGCGGTAGATGGGTTGGGGGGTTCGGCCGGAATTGGCGTCGCAACTGGAGCCCGAGCCTCGCCATCACCAGAGCCCACTGGCGTGTCTGACGGATCCGGGTTTGGGCCGGCATCGGGAGGAAAACCCATAGCCGGAGTCAGAGCTAAAGTCGGAGCCGGCCTTGGAAAGCAGCCAAAATCAGAAGACAAGCCGTAGCTGGAGCCCTCACTCAATATCATTGCCGGAATGTCTGCCAGTGCTGTAGTGTCCGTCGTAACCGGCATTGGGGCAGCACTAGGCGCCAGGGGCGGCACGGGAATCGGAACCAGAGTCGGGGCAAGCGTTGGACAAGCGGTGACTTTTGGACCACGCGCCAGAGCGAAGTGCACGCAAACAACGTGGACTGCAAGACGGCAAAACGAAACCGGTATACCCGTAGAAGAATGAATCCGCATAGGTCGGAGACGTTGCCGAACAAGCTCACGACGAAGCCGAACGTGTAAATGCACAAGTTTGCTGCGCTGGTCGTGGTAACGGAGAAACGCTAGAAAAAGGAAATACATCGTCGTGAACTCAATTATGGGTCCGTCGTCGTCTGTAGTCGCCCCCTTGTTGTCCGTCACATCTTGTGCCTGTCTTGACCTACGTGCCACCGCAGCATCGTCGAAGCTTTCCATCGTCCCTCACAGCATCGTGGATTTCCAGCGGCTTTTCAGCGCTCTTAGGCGTCGCCGCGCTGCTTTTCTGGAGGCCTCGGGAGCGCCGCTCGGCACCTGTATCCCCAACATGTCCTACACCCCCCTGGGAAAAGCAGTGCGATTGTTGCAGGTCGTGTCGAAGAATCGCCAGGGGGGCTTCCCTGGGGTATGCCTCCGTCCCGGGTCCGTTTCCGACGGCCTGGGGGCCTGAAAACGTCCCTTGGAGGCCAAAAGCGGCGAAAAGCCGAAGGCGACCCAAATAACAAAATCTGTCATACAAGTGCAGAACAGTCGACAAATGAATCGCCAAATTCATCGAAAACCTAGATCATCGACAACATTCAGCCAGGGCAGCAGGACGATCCCCGGGGGCTAGTCCTGGAGCCCTCCTGGGGGCCTCTGTGGCCGTCCAGGGAGCCCCCAGGGCTGGACGAAAGGGCCAGCGGAGCGAGGAGCGAGGAGGAGGAGGAGGAGGAGGAGGAGGAGGAGGAGGAGGAGGAGGAGGTTGTTGTACCTTTTCAGCACGCTCGCCTTTCCTGTCTCGCGAGCGTCCATCACGGCCCAAAAGGCTCTCCCAAAGACAACCCAGGAGCCCCGTAGAGGCGCCCGAGAGGCCCCCAAAACGGCCCCAAGAAAGGCCCAGGGCACTCCGCCCTCCACCAAGATGCCCCCGATAGCCGCCCCTATGGGCCCTCGAGACGCCCCCGAGAGGCCCCAAGAGGCCCCCGAAAGACTGAAAGTCTTCTAAAAAGGCACTCAGAAGGCGCACAAGACGTCCCAGGAGGCCTCCAAGCGATCTGAAGAAACCCCCAGGAGGCATCTGGTCCACGACAAAGGGACGAGCCGAAGGCCACTAGAACCGCCGCCCCCTGTGGCTTGCCACAGGAATGCACGGCGTGCCAGACGTTAGACTGTGTTGGTCAATGTTCAAAGGTTCCCAAATGCCTTCGGCCAGATGCGCCGGCATGGAATAAGGACCCGTCAACTTCCTAGGTCGTCGGTCTTCTCGCTCCAGACGGTCCTGAGAGGGCCTCCAAGACGGCCAAGACGGCCCCAAGAAGAGCTTCAGATGACCACAAGATGTCTCCAACATGGGCCGAGATGCCCACGAGAAGGCCCGAGTTGGCCTCAATATCGCCCAAGACGGCCGAAGAGGTCACCAAGTCCAAGAGGACCTATCAAGGCGGGGGAACACAAACTAACAGATGGCGGATTTCGGAAACCCTGAACCCAAAAACATGTTCATCTCTTGGGGGCGCATCTTTTACTTCCGCGGCCTTCCGCCAGCCTTCCTTTCACCACCGCTACACCCTCTAAGTGTCACTCTGGATGTCTTGCGACGGGCCCAAACAAAAACTACCGACACCTCGGCGCAGCATAATTCACTCGAGAACGAATTTGCTGGGGCCTGAAGGAGCGCAGAGGAAGGGAAGGCAGGAAGCGTTGGCCCACCGCCCACGAGGTCCCGCCCCCGAGCGCCCCCCGCCAGCCTTCCGCTGGCTTCCGCAAGCGGAGGCGGCCTCGTTTTACTTCCACCGACCTTCCGCCGCCCTTCCGCCGCCTTCCGCCGAGGAAGGGATGACAACTCCTTCTATCCTCGAAGGCGAGGCCCTTTTTGGAACGCCCCTCAGGTTGTGCAGGATTTGTGCGTTTGCCCCTTTTCGGCTTGCCGACGGCCCAAGGCGGCCCCAGCGGCCACCAGTATGGCCACAGGAGCGCCCAAGAGGCCTCCGAGATGGTCCCCTGACGACCCAAGAGGCCCCCGTGACGGCCCCAAGACGCCCCCAAGAGGCCCCCGAGTCGGCCCAGAGAGGCTCCCAAGACGGCTTCCGACCGGCAAGGAACACCCTCAGATTGCCAAAGAGCCTCCCGAGGAGCCTCCAAAGGCCCACAAGAGGCCTAATGAAGCCCCCAAGAGGCCTCCAAGAGGCGCCCAGGAAGCCCCCAGGAGGCCCCAAGATTGCCCCAAGAGGCTCCCAAGAGGCCTCCTCTCCTTTCCCCTCTTCCACAATGGCTGGGGGAACACATCGTCGGATAGCTTGGCCGAACTCTGGCCTCAACGTTCGGACACATAGGCGCTTCCAAAAGGCAGAGGGCGGCGGTGATTTGCCGCAGACGTCTTCGATCCGCCGCCCCGGGGGGCTTACCACAAGACTGCACGAAACTCCAGACACTGGGTAATTGTTGGCCTTCTGCCCAACCCGCTGGCCACCCAGAAGGACGCGCAAAGGCGCAGGAAGAGGGGGCAAGAACAAACAACTCGCCTCCACGAGGACCCGAAAACGTTCCAAGTCGTCGGTCTTCCCGCTCCAGACGGCCCTAAGAATGCCTCCAGGACGGCCAAGGTGGTCTCCAGGCCGGCTACGATGGCCCCGAGAGAGCCCAAGACGACCCCAAGATGTCTCCAACACAGGCCGAGATGCCCCCAAGATGGGCAAGGATGGCCTGAACATCGCCCAAGACGGCCTTGGAGGCAAATCGACCTCCAGGAAGGCCCGTAGGTATATAAAGGACTCTGGCGGTTGTTTATTTGCAACTTTCCGACGGTCCAAGACGGCCCCAGAGGCCACACAGATGGCATCAAGAGCGACCAGGAGGCCCCAGAGGTGACCCACTGACGGCCCAACACGCCCTCAATTTGGCCCCGAGTCGGCCCAGAGAAGCACCCAACACGGCTTCCGACAACATCAGACAGGCCAAGAACACGTTCAGCCGGCCAAAGAGCCTCTTAAGGAACCGCTAAAGGCCCCAAGAGGCCCAAGGAAACCCCCAAGAGGCATCCAAAAGGCCCCAAGGAATTTCCCAAGAGGCCCCAGGAGTGCCCCGAGAGGCTCCGAAGAGGCCGCCTCCTCCTCCTCCTCATCATCATCATCATCACCATCCTCCTCCTCCTCCTCCTCCTCCTCCTCTTCCTCCTCCTCCTCTTCCTCCTCCCTCCTCCTCCTCCTCCTCCTCCTCCTCCTCCTCTTCTTCCCTGTTGATCATCCCTCCGGTAGCTTGACGCAGCTCTGGCCGCAACGTTCGGCCACGTAGGTACTTCAAAACGGCAGGGGGCGGCTGTGACTCATTGCGTTTTCGTAGGAGCCGAAATGTGGGTGGATCTCCACTTGGGAGCCGACACGCTGGTGGATCTCCACGGTATTAAGGATGTTGTGGTCGGCGGCTTGGGAAAACGCATCGAGTCGATAATGTTTGGTCACACGCGCAATCATACTTCCATATACAGATGTATATATATATGTATATTTATCGATACATACAAACATACTAGATGTATCTTGATACCCGTAAGCGGAAACAAACATACGACTGGACCAGCCTGAGGAACATGCGGAGGCCACTTGCTCGATACACAGGCGGAAGCCTGGCGGGCGCGGCCACAGAAAGGCCGAACGCTGGAAAAATGTCCACTTGCATACGTGTTCACCTCTCGCCCAGGCCGGCGACAGCAGATTTATTCCACATCCCGCTCCTGCTCCTCCTCGTCCCTCCCCCCCATGGGCGACCAGATGCCGACTGACACGTTTGTGAGAAGGGTGCCACGCAACCACAGGAACAGATGTTGTAATTTCGGTAGCTGCGGCGGGCGAGTACCCAGACGCAACCAAAATCACCCTGCGATGCCCCGTCGACCATATCCCGTCCGTCCTCCCATCACCGCCCTTCCGAGACTTCCGGCGATTCGATCTGGGCCATTGGACCTCCAGCCTCTCGGCTGCTCCCCGGCAGCAGAAAGTTTCCACACACCTGATTCGTAATGTTTAGAAGCTGGTTAAACAATTTTGTGGGGAGACAGTTTAAAACATGGTTTCCCCAGCGCTGTAGTGCGCATGCAGAAAACAAAACGGAGGCGGGGCAAACTGGAACGCTGGAGACGTCCCCGCGACCGCCCTGGCGCCCTGCGTGCATGGGCAGATTCCTGCGCACCCCCTCTTGGCGTCAGGCCACGCCTGCGACGCCCTGTGACCCCAGCGTGGATAGAGACTGCGATCAGGGACCACTCCGTGCGCACCGCGCACCCTGTCTGGGTTGCGAAGCGGCGCTGAATACGCAAATGCGGCACGCCGCTGATATATGTCATACAGCGGGGGCGATGTTGCACTCCAGAACCCAACTGCGAACACCCAGTGTAACAAATCATTCTCTGATCGGAAGACGGGAACATCCCAATGTGGATATACGACACTGAATGCAACAAATGCCAAGCGCCAGCGCGCGCGCGGCGGCATGCCGCTGCTAGATTTTATACAACGGGACGAAATGTCGCGCGCGCGGCGGCGGCATGCCGCTGATAGATTCTATACAACGGGACAAAATTTGATATCGAAAACCAAATAGCGAAAATCCAATGGAAAAAAAAACATTCTCTGATCGGGAGACGGGAACATCCCCATGTGGATATACGACACTGACTGCCACAATGCCAATCGTCAACGAGCGCGCGCGCGGCGGCATGCCGCTAAAAATTTGATACGCTGCAAGCCCCAATCGCAAAAAAAAATAAATTAAACAAAAACATGTAAACATTAATTGTCTGATCGGGAGACGGGATCATCCAACTGTGGATATACGACACTGAATGCAAACATGCCAATCGCCAGAGCGCCCGCGGCGGCGGCATGCCGCTGATAGGTTTGATGCAACGAGAGCGAAGTTGAACTCACAAATCCAATGGCGAAAACCCAATGTGAAAATTCAATCTCTGATCGGAAGACGGGAACATCCTCATGTGGATATACGACACTGAATGCACAATTGCCAATTGCCAACGCGCGCGCGCGCGCGCGCGCGCGGCGACGGCATTCCGCTGATAGCTTGTAATACAACGGGAGCCATGTTGAACTCCAACACCCGAAGGCGAAAACCCCATGTAAACATTCATTATCTGATCGGAAGGCGGGAACATCCTTATGTGGATATGCGACACTGAATGCACAAATGCCAATCGCCAGCGCGCGCGCGGCGGCGGCATGCCCCTGATAGGCTGGATACAACGGGAGCGAGGTTGAACGCCAAAATCCAATGGCGAAAACCCAATGTAAATATTCATTCTCTGATCGGAAGACGGGAACAGCCTCATGTGGATATACGACACTGAATGCAAACATGCCAATCGCCAGCGCGCGCGCGCGGCGGCATGCCGCTGATAGGTTTCATTTATACCAGGGGAGCGATGTTAAATTCCAAAACCCAATGGCGAAAATCCAATGTAAAAAATCATTCCCTGATCGGAAGACGGGAACATGCCCATCGGCATTTTCCGTGGTACCGAAGTATATACAAATGGCATCGATCGGCATCCATTGATTTTTTTCCAGGGGGGACATATAAAAACATAGTTATCCTGATGCGAATTAATGGCAGTCGGGGTCCGGGGAGAGGGGGGAGGGGGGGAAACATCATTTTTGTTAACCGGTGTTGGTCATTAAGTCGGGCGTGTCCCCCTACAGGCGGATCTTGGACGAAAGGCCAAAAATACAATCAAAATGCTCGCAAAATTGTCAAAACAATCGTCCCCAGAATATCTTTTTACTATCCTTGAATATTCCTCCTGTAGAGGGACAGGCCCGACTTAACCTTCTTGCTGGACGGCCTGGGTGCCCGCCAGCGGCTCCCAGGGCCGCCGAGGCCTGCGAGCGGACACCTGTGGCGCGGGCCTGCTCGGCCCGCTGGAGGTCTGGGTCCCCCTCTCGCAGGCAGCGGCCCTCCGAGACGACGCCGGCCCTCCCTGGAACTGCCCCGCCCTCTTGTCGGGCGCGGCCTGACCGTCCCCCTGGCAAACCATCCCCTTCCGTGACGTCATCCGTCATCCTCGCTTCTCGAGCTGCCCTCCCTGGCCGCATACATACGTCTTGGGGCGAGGCCAGGGGGACGTCACGGAAGGGGATGGTTTGCTCGTGGTCGGTTAGGCCGCCCCTGATCTTGTGTACTCCAAATCCGTTAGGAATCGTCCCCCAAGGCCGGTTTTTGAAGGCGCCTGTTCTGTAACTGGGGGGGTCCGGTTTATTGGGGCGGTTTGTGTGGATTGGAGCTAATTAGGGGCCCGGGTTAGTGAAGGGCCCCGCCGAAGAGGGGGGTCCGGAATAATAGGTCGCATCTGGAAGGGGGTCCGGTTTTTTAGTGGGGGGGTCGATGAATCTCCCGGATGGTGTCCCTCGCAGCGGCCGGATCCGCCTCGAAGGGCTGATCAAGGGGACCGATCTTGAACGAACTCTTGCGGGCTGGGCGGGACAAGGCCGCCGTGGCCTCCTCCAGGAGCCCCCCTGGCTCCCACTTGGTGCATTGCCGATCTCAACCACTTTTAGCTGGCGACGCGTTTCGGACTCTAGGTCCTCTTCCGGACCAAAAGGCTGCGGTGTCCCACGCGCGTGCCGTGCAGCGCGCGAGCAAGGCAGCAAGAGGTTAAAAGTGCGGGGGTGAAAAAACCTGGCTGCCCACCCACCTTACCTAGGCCTACTATGCCTACCTAGGCCTACTATGCCTTCTCCTCGGCTTCCCCTCCGAATCCTGCCTCGTGGCGGTGGACAAACCTCCCTTTCGTAAACCGCCCTTTAGTGACAACGGTCTAGGACCGAAACCGACGGACCTGGACCCGCAAGAACGACGGCCGCGACGCCCTCTCGCGGACCGACAACGGCCAACTCGCCAATGGACGTGTCAGGGTAGGAGGTCTAGTAACCTCCGAACCTTCCTGACCCTCCTCCCCGGCCCACCTCCTCCTCCTCCTCCTCCTCCTCCTCCTCCTCCTCCTCTTGAGCCCACCCCCCCCGGGGGCACCTGTCCGGGCCCACCGTCTCGTCGGCTCTCCCCGCGAAGTGAGACCCGCGCGTGACGGTGGAGAACGCCACGCCTCTCCCTGCCAGGAGGGGGGGATAGCGGTGGGGCGAGGAGGAGGAGGAGGAGGAGGAGGAGGAGGACGAGGACGAGGAGGAGGAGGACGACGAGGAGGAGGACGACGAGGAGGAGAAGGACGAGGACGAGGAGGAGGAGGAAAGGAGGAGGAGGTTGTCCTCTGTTGTCATCGGTCTGCGAGGCAGGAGCGGAGGCGCCGTTCCCGGCCACGGCGGGCCTCGGCCACGACCGCGTGCCCCGACCTGGGTGTGCGGAGCGGCGCGCCAGCCGGAGCCCCTCCTGCAGATCCCACCAGTCCTCTGGGCGTACGATAGGTTCGCGTCGTGCCGACCCCAGCGTTGGTTTTTGACACCGCGGGGATCGTTCAACCTTGAACGATCGGCCGCTGCCGCAACGTCCGACCGTTCAACATCGATCGATTCCGGGTCGCCGGCGGCGTTCAACCTTGAACGCCCGCGCTGGGGTCGCCGCTGGTCGACACGACGCAAACCTACCGTAGGTGGTTCAGAGAGTTTCCTCTTCCACCCCTCCTTCTTCCCCTTCGGGGAGGGGTTTATCCCTCCCCCTGCCCCCTCCCCTGCACCTGGACCGGGGGCGCGGCGACGCGCTGGAGCTTCCAAGATGGCACAAGACGGCTCCAAGAGCGCCTCGGAAAGCCCAAGATGACCTCCAAGATGGCTCAAGATGGGCCAAGATGCATCAAGATGGCTCTGAAGATGCTCCAAGAGGCTCCAAGACCGCCCCAAAACGGCTCCAAGAGGCTAAATAGCTCCCCAAGGAGTCCTCCAAGAGGCTAAAATCCGTCAAAAACCTAAGGGAAACTGATGATGTGTGCCTTCTCGCCTATTCGCTTCCGATGGCCTTCCGAGGCCCAAGATGGCTCCAAGAGGGCCCAAGATAGCCCCAAGAGGGGCCCAAGAGGGCCCCAAGACGGCCCCAAGAGCGCTCCAAGAGCGCCCCAAGAGGGGTCCAGGAGGCTATGTTGGGGGCTCCCGAGGGGCGGTGCTAACTAAGGACCCCCCCTTCTTTGATCGATCGCCTCCAAGATGGCCCCAAGAGGCGCCCAGGAGGCCCCAAGAGGCGCCAAGGTGGCCCCAAGAGGCCTCCAAGATGCCCCCAAGAGGCCCCCCCCGACGCACTCAAGACGCCCAAGAGCCCCCCAGGACCGTCAAGAGACCCCCCAGACGTCCCAAGATGCCTCCAAGAAGCGCCCAAGAGATGCCCCAAAAGGCTCCGAAAGGCATTCAAGAGACCTCTGGCATTTTTGCCCGTCCTCCTCCTCCTCCTCCTCGCCGCCGAGCCCCAAGAGAGGCCCAGGAGAGCCCCAAGACAGTCCCAAGAGGCGTCCAAGAGGCTCCCAAAAGACCCCCAAGAGACCCCCAAGAGGCCTCAAGAGGATCCCCGAGGCGCTCCCAAAGCCCCCCCGGGGCCGCCAAGAGGCCCACGCGATGCCCCGCGAGGCCTCCAACAAGCTTCCAAGGTACATCCGACGAGACTCCGACAAGCATTCAAGAAGCCTCTGGCCATCCTGCTCTCACGTTTCCTCCTCCTCCTCCTCCTCCTCCTCCTCCTCCATCTCCTCCTCCTCCTCCTCCTCCTCCTCATCCGCCTATTCCTCCTGCTCCCTCCTCCCTCCTCCCCCCTCCCCCTTTCCCACCTGCTGCCCCTCCTCCCCCTCCCTCTCCTCCTCCTCATCCTCCTCCGATTCCTCCTCCATCCTCGCCGTCTTGGACAACACGGGTTCCCCAGCCCTTGGTTACTCTGTGTGCTCCCTCACTTTCCTGATCACCTCCATTCGCCTGGGCATTCGCTGGTCGAGAACCAGCAGCACCAGCAGCAACAGCAGCAGAAGCAGTACCAGCACCAGCAGCAACACATGTAACCTTCGCCACAACAGATCTCCCAATTCACCGTTCTTGCCCGCTTGGTTTCACCATGAGCGTCTCTGCTTCCCTTCTTCCGTCAGCTCCCCTACGCATCGATTGTGGATGGGCTGGTGGGGATGCGCGTAGCGTCTAGAATTTGCCGTTACTTTAGGATGACGATGACGATGATTATGCTGCTGATGATGCTGATGCTGCTGCTGGTGATGGTGATGGTGATGGTGATGATGCTACTGATTATGACGATGATGATGACGCTGATGAGGAGGGTGGCGATGATGATGATGATGAGGATCATGATGAGGATCGGGAGTCGGAGGATGCTGCTGCTTCTTATGATGCTGATAATGTTGAGGATTCTGATCCGTATCATTCTATGACAATGATCATGGTAATGATGGTGGTGATGACGACGACGGCGACTATGGTGATGATGATGCTGACGATGCTGTCGATGATGCTGATGCTGCTGGTGGTGGTGATGCTGCTGCTGCTGATGATGATGATGATGATCGACCGTACCTGGGGGATGATGATTATGATGATGATGATGGTGATGGTGATGGTGATGATGATGATGATGATGATGATGATGATGGTGGTGACGATAATGATGATGATGATGATGATGCTGCTGCTGATGATGATGATGACGGTGGTGGTGGCGGTGATGGTGATGATGGTGGTTGTGCCGACTACTATCACAACGATGGCGACAGCGAATCTGATGATGGTGATGGTGATGGTGATGGTGATGCTGATGTGGGGGGGAGGAGGAGGAGGAGGAGGAGGAGGAGGAGGAGGAGGAGGAGGAGGAGGAGGAGGAGGAGGAGGAGGAGGAGGAGGAGGAGGAGAAGGAGAAGGAGAAGGAGGAGGCGGAGGCGGAGGCGGAGGAGGAGGCGGAGGAAGGATGAGGAGGAGGAGGAGGAGGAGGAGGAGGAGGAGGAGGCGGAGGGAGGAGGAGGAGGAGGAGGAGGCGGAGCAGGAGGAGGGTCGAGGAGCAACTTCTTGCGAGAGCCACAACTGTCGAAGACGCCTACGGCGAATCACCGCCGCCTGCTGCCTTTTGGAATCTCCCGTGTGGCCGAACGTTGTGGCCAGGGCTCTGCCAAACTATCCGACCATGTGTTCCCCCAGCCGGTATGGAAACCCTTCGGGAAAAACTTTGGGGAGGATGGCGGGGAAGATCACGAGGAGGAGGAGGAGGAGGAGGAGGAGGAGGAGGAGGAGGAGGAGGAGGAGCAGGAGAAGGAGGAGGAGAATGAGGAGGATTGGGCATATTGGGGGCCTCTGGGTGCACTCTTTGAGGCCTCCTGGGAGCTTCTCGGGGGTCTCTTGGAGGTATCTTTGGCGCCTCGTTGGGCCTTTTGGGGGCCTTTGGGGGCTTCGTGGGGGCCTCTTTGCCCGTCTTAGGGCGCTTCTGGCCCGTCTGGCGCTGTCGGAGGCCTTCTTGGGGGCCTGTCTGAACCGACTTGGGGCCCTCTTGGGGTGCTCCATGGCAGTCTTGGAGGCCATCTTGGGCGTTTTGGAAGCCTCCTTGGCCATCTTGGAGCCTGCTTGGGTCCGTCTTGGGGGCCTCTTGGGCCGTTCCGGGGCCATCTTGGAAGCCTCTTGGGCGATCTTTGGGCGATCTTTGGGAGCTCTTGGGCCGTCTCGGGTCGTCGAAAGGCCGAGAAGAAACAATTGCCCAAATCCTTCAAACACCTCAAGCAAAACACCTCAAGCAAATCGATGACGTTGACCTTTTCGGAGCTTCCCGGAGGCATTCTTGTGAACCTATTAGGCCGTCTTGGGGGCCTCTTGGGGGCCTCTTGGCCTTGGCAGTCTTGGGCCCACCCTGAGCTGTCTTGGAAGCTTATTGGGCGGACTTGGAGGCAGCATGGATGGGCCGTCTAGGTGGCCATGCTGGACCATCTTGGGCGAACTGGGAGGCCATCTTGGCCACCTTGGAGGCCACCTTGGGTCATCTTGGACCCATCTGGAGCGGAACAATCATTGCCAACGGACCACGGAAAGTGCCAACGTGCCACGGAAAACCCCAACGGGCAACTGAAAGTCCCACTCGCAGTCCTTGCCATCCTCTGTCTTGGGTGAGCAGACGCACGGGGCCGTGAGTTGTTGTGCTCGCGCCTGCGGGGGGTGGGTGCTCCCCCCTCCCCCTATCACCCTAAGTGCGCGCCAGCTTGTTGCCTGAGCAGCACTCATCACGGACCCAGCGCTTGCCCTGTCTTGCGTAGGATGAACACGTGCGCGGGCGTTTTTGTTGCGACTCCCAGCCCTTTCCTGGACTGCTTGGAGTGGGCAGATTTGCTGCCTATTCTGTTGCCCCGCAATCTGCGCGGGCCCAGCGCTGTTCCCAGCTCCGTTTTGGAGGAACAGACGTGCAGGCCACTTATTGTTGTCCCGCGCACTCCTCTGGCCCAGTTCATGCTCGCGTCTGCTTGGGGTGGGCAGGCGTTTTTTTTTGCGTGGCCCACGCCCGTCGCGGGCCCAGCGTCTTTTTTGTCCCGCTTACAGCGAGCAGATGTGCAAGCTCTGTTGTTGCTCCCCGTGCTCCCAGTCCTTGCCCGTGCCCTGCTGTGAGTGGGCAGATGTGCGGGCCATTTGTTGGCTCGCGCGCCCCGCAGGCACCCGCCGCGAGCCCAGCGCCTGCGGGTGAGCAGATGTGCGGGCCATGTTTCTGTTGGCCCGCAACCTGGCCCAGCGCATTCCCTTCGCCGCCTGGAGCGGGCAGAGGTGAAGGCAATTAGGTTTCGACTCGCACTCCCCACCGGCACCCTCCCGCGAGCCCATCGTTGCCCTGCCTTGTCCTGTTGGGGTGCGCATCCTTGCCTTCGCCATTTCCCCTGACTCCCATTGCCTGTTGGAGTAGGCAGATCCTCCTTGCCCCTTGTAGGCGACCAGGTTTGCGGGCCATTGCTTGTCGGCCGCGGCGACTGCGAGCCCAATTTCAGACCGTCCTCGCCCATCCTGGGCGAAGAGATTTGCGTGTCCTTTTGTCTGTTGGCCGCGAGCAGGTTTGCGGGCCATTTGTTAAAAACTGCGCTCCCCGCCATCACCCCTGCCATTCCATGCGTGCTTGAGTGAGCAGATCCTTTCCTTATCCTTTTAGGGTGACATGATGTGTGGATCATTTTGTTTTGGCCCGCGGCTTCTGCGAACCCAATCGCAGCCTGTCCTGGTCTGCTTGGGGTGAGGAGATGTGCGGGACATATTTGTTTGGCCCGCGTTTTGTGCGTTTGCGGGCCATGTTTGTTTCGGCCCTCAGTTTTTGCGAGCACAATCGCAGCCTGTCCTGATCTGTTTGAGGTGAGGAAATGTGCGGACCATTTTTGCTTTGGCCCGCAATTTTCACGAACCCAATCCCAAAGCAGATTTGCTGGCAATTTGTTGTTGGCTCGCAAAGTGTGCGAGTCGTTGATACTTACAGTCCATTTTGTGCTGGCCTGCAGTTTTTGTGAGCCCAATCGCAGCTGTCTCTGGTGAGGAAATGTGCGGGCAATCGTTTTGGCACGCAGCGCTTGCGAGCCCAGTCGCAACCTTTCCTGGTCCGTTTGGTGTGTCGAGGGGAGGGGGGGGGCGCAGTTTCCGCGGGCCTGGTCCCGCCCCTGCCATGCCTGCGCGGGGTGGGCAAAATTGCGGGCCATCTTCAGGGGGTCCCGCGTCCCTCCTCGGACCCGCGCCGTGCCCGGGGCTCGTACCAGCTGCAGCTCGGGGGCGCAAGGGGAAACAGAGAGTGATAGAGACGGAGAGAGAGGGAGAAAGAGAGGGAGAAAGAGACATATACAAAGACATAGGCATAGACAGAGACAGCAGGGACAAACGTGGTATTTTTTTGCAGTCTCGACTAAAACGTCCTGGCCCAACCGGCCGTGCTCGACTAAAACGTCCTGGCCCAGCTGGCCTTGCGAGGCCACGCCCGCCAGAAGAAGCCGTCCAGCATCCGTGTAGTCACCCACATCCAAAATGGTTATGTGTCTTCTCTGGACATGCGCGCACCATCACTATCACCCTCAGTATCAGTATCAGTATCACTATCATCGTCATCATCATCACCATCACCATCACCATCACCATCACCATCACCATCACCATCACCATCATCATCATCATCATCATCATCATCATCATCATCATCATCATCATCATCATCATCATCATCATCATCATCATCATCATCATCATCATCATCATCATCATCACCGTCACCGTCATCATCATCATTATCATCATCAGGGTCCAGACATGCAGCTTGCCGCGGTCAAACACCGCCTGCAAGCCATCAGCTCAGACGTCGACGGTCTTTATGCACGCGCTGGCCGGCAAAGCAGCCTCCGTGTGGTCGTCCTCTCCGAGAAGCCCTCCCACAAGGAAGCCGGCCATCTTCAAGTTGCGAGCGAAAAAATTCAGGTATGCCGTTCCCTGACTGGTGCGGCCATGGACCACCTTCAGCATGATCTTCCCGAAAGACATCCACTTCGTGCCCGTGTGGGGCTCCCCCGCGCCTGCGTTGAACATAAGTCCAGTACCACGTCCGAGCATGTGGATCTTGGCCTCGACCCACTTCCCCGTAATGTTGACTTTCATGAAGTACGTCTCTGCACAGGCGCCACCCACCTTCTGGGCGTCGGCCTCCACGAGCAGCAGCGCCTGCGACGGGGGCGCCCGCATGGGCACGTTGAGCAGGACATGGGCGCCGGACTTCAGCACGTCGAAGTGCTGCCCCTGCACGTTGACCAAGTGTGGGTCGCCAGACGCTTCCACCCGCATTTCTGTCGGTGCGGGCGTTGGGGCACCTGTGGGAGCAGTCGGAGCCAAGGTCGGCGAAACAGTCGGTGACGCTGTCGGTGAAGCTGTTGGCGCCGCTGTCGGTGCAGCTGTGGGCGCACTTGTTGGTGCAGCCGTCGGGGCAACAGTCGGTGACGCTGTCGGTGCCGCAGTCGGTGCAGCTGTGGGCGCGCCCGTCGGTGCAACCGTCGGGGCTTCAGTCGGTGACGCTGTCGGTGAAGCTGTCGGTGCCGCAGTCGGTGCAGCTGTGGGCGCGCCTGTCGGTGCAGCAGTCGGGGCAGCAGTCGGTGAAGCTGTCGGTGAAGCTGTTGGTGCCGCAGTAGGTGCAGCTGTCGGTGCCGCTGTCGGTGCAGCCGTCGGGGCAGCAGTCGGTGACGCTGTCGGTGAAGCTGTCGGTGCCGCGGTCGGTGCAGCTGTGGGCGCGCATGTCGGCGCAGCAGTCGGGGCAGCAGTCGGTGAAGATGTCGGTGAAGCTGTTGGTGCCGCAGTAGGTGCAGCTGTCGGTGCCGCTGTCGGTGCAGCCGTCGGGGCAGCAGTCGGTGACGCTGTCGGTGAAGCTGTCGGTGCCGCAGTCGGTGCAGCTGTGGGCGCGCCTGTCGGTGCAGCAGTCGGTGAAGCTGTCGGTGAAGCTGTTGGTGCCGCAGTAGGTGCAGCTGTCGGTGCCGCTGTCGGTGCAGCCGTCGGGGCAGCAGTCGGTGACGCTGTCGGTGAAGCTGTCGGTGCCGCAGTCGGTGCAGCTGTGGGCGCGCCTGTCGGTGCAGCCGTCGGGGCAGCAGTCGGTGAAGATGTCGGTGAAGCTGTTGGTGCCGCAGTAGGTGCAGCTGTCGGTGCCGCTGTCGGTGCAGTCGTCGGAAATGATGTGGGTGACCTTGTCGGCGAAGTTGTCGGCGGCGCAGTGAAGCATGCGACGCTGTCCTCGTCGACGAAGTAGTTGGACGTCCCAGCCATGGCGAAGTTGCGGCCCCACAACTGGACGTACTCTGGCGGCATGTCCGTCAGGATCTTGAACCCGATGACGAACTCGCTTGTGTTAGCGAACTCAACCATGAAGCATCGCTTCGCCTGGTCCACGGTGGCGGCCGACGCGTCTGGGCAAGTGATGTTGGTTAAGCTGTTCGGATCCGAAGGGTTGTCGCAGCCGTGCCCGAACATCTGCGAGGTCACCTTTACCCCGAACTTGCCCCCAGAAGTGGCGACGTACTTCCTGGAGGTCCTACCAGGGATCGGCGTCTGGACCGAACTCGTGCTGTACGTCAGCGGGGCTGGGCTGTTGCTGGTGATGGTGTCGAATTCGTACAACTCCAAGTCGAATTCGAAATCGCCGTCGACCGTGTAGACAGCGCTAACGCCGTCGAGTAACACAATCTCATTCTCCCCATCCTTGTAGTGGTCAACATCGCACAACGTGATCTTTGGCCGGACTGGCGTTTCAGGGCAGTAGGTGTGATTTCGCACAAACGCCGCCTTGAGATTGACATATTCCCCTACCAGGAGGTTCACAGTCGCCGTGGCGCCAAAAATGTTGTTCCAATTCGTGTTCCTCGGAACATACATGCTTGTATTAATGAAGGTGATGTCCACGGGGGACCCATCTGCGGCAAGTCCAACGCCATAATATCTAAGCTCATTTGGCATATCGTACTGCGGGCCTAGCCCGCCAAGATTCGAATGACGTGATCTCCCTGGATTTTCCCCATCGGTGTTGTTCTCCGAAAAGGAAATCCAATCCTCACAGTCATCGTAGAGGCGTATGCGTGGCAGATCGGGGCACTCCTCTGGACACACGCAACACATTGTAGCAGACGTGAAATCTGAATCGTCATAATATGGGTCGAAGCAGATGCCTGAAAACGGGTTTTCAAAATCGTGCGCATAAGCTTCACACCCTTTGCCAAATCTGTTCGTAGCCCCCACTGCAGAGTCGACACAGGTTGTCGGCGACGGCGTCGCAGCTGCTTGCCTTGGCGCAGACATCTGCTTCGAAGTGAGAGCGTGGAAGATGCTACGAGCCCACTGCGTTGGACCCCTGGTCATGTTCCGCTCCTCGTGCGACAAGACCACAAAGGACTGCATCATGAACGCGTCGCACGGCTGAAATTCGAGCGGCCGGTTGGCTCCCACGACGCCTGTGGCGGACGGCGTAGTCGGTAGAACAGACGCCGCGATTGCCATCAGGATCCGCACTGCACGGCATGTAGCAGCGCAATTACTCGAGATGGACGACATATCCTCAGTGCAGTATCGGCGGTGCCAACACACGTATGACTATTGAGCCACAGCGGCTACGGAACATCATTATTACAATCAGAATAAAAGTCAGCATCATTAGCATCTTCGTTATCCTAATCCTAATCCATCCTCACCATGGACATCCGAATTACCACCACCCCATCACCATGATCACCTTCACCATCACATGCTGACGCATTCACAACGTCATCAACATCACCATTCTCATTACCACCATCACCATCATCTCAAGCTGGGGCCTTGAGCGGGAGCCTCGTCCGTGAGCGAATCGTGAGGGAGTCTCGAACAGGAACTCCCGCCCTATGAGGCCCGCGCGTCGCGCCTGCAATCCAGGCACTCTTCAGACAACCTGTGAGACACATTGTTTCTCACGCCTGGCAGCCTGAATCCCGAGAAAGTATCAAGCAAGAACACCCTCCCTATGGGGCCCGCACTTCATGTTAGCAATCCGAGGCGGCCATCGCAACACCCCAGGCTTCTCACAACCGGAAGCCTGAATGTGGAGAGAGTTTCGAACGGTAGCCCCCCCCCCCCCACCCTACAGTCGGGGCGTTGACCTAAGGAACCCCAAATAAGCAGCGAGGCCCCCGTTTTCCTTACGCTAAACTTTGTATTCCCACCGAAAACCTACGGAAAACCGAAGGCAAGCTGTGAAACAATGAAGGAACACGGGGCCCTCCCCAACGAGAGGGGTTCCTTTTTTTTCAGCGCCCCGACTGCATGGGGCCCGCACTTCATGCTAGCACTCCGAGGCGGGGAGGTCTTGAGCAGGAGCCTCGTCTGTGAGCGAATCGCGAAAAAGTTTCAGGCCAGGAGGGCCTCCCTATGGGGGCGCGCGCTCAGTGCTACTCGTCCCGGACAGCCATCGGCAAACCTGTAATTGTCGTCACTGCGGAGCTCCAGAAGCTTCGGGGCGCCTCGAGCGGGAGCCTCGTCTGTGAGCGAATCGCGAAGAAGACCCAACCAGGAGCCCCCTCCAAATGGGCCTGCGCTTTTCGTTGCTAATCTGAGGCAGCCATGTGCAAACCTGTAACTGTGGTCACGATGGGGCTCTTAAGGTCTGGAGTTTGAGGAAGTCTTGAGCGGGAGACTCGTCTGTGATGAATCGTGAATGCATTTCAAGCGGGAGCCTCCTCCCGATGGGGCCCGTGCTCAGTGCTACTCATCCGAAGCGGCCATCGGCAAACTTGCAATCGCCGTCGCCCCAAAGCTCCAAAAGCTTCAGAGCGCTTCGAGCGGGAGCCTCGTCTGTCAGCAAATCGTGGGGGAGTCCCAAGCGGGAACCTCCTCCAGGCCAACACTTCACGTTACTAATCCGAAGCATCGATCAGCAAACCTCGACATGTTGTCACACTTGGGCTCCTGAGGCCTGAAGTTTGAGGAAGTCTCGAGCGGCGGCCTCGCCTCTGAACGGATCGTGGAGGCGGCTCGAGCGGGAACCCCATCCCTACGGGGTCCGAACCGGCATCGTCATCCGACCCATGTAAGTGCCATCGCTTTTAGAATTCTGGTGGGCGCGCCAGCTCGCTTGTTCGCGGGCACAATCCGCTGGGGGGGGGAGCGGGAAGCCGCGCGCAGCCGGCAGGCGACGCGCGCGGTGCGCGTCCTGCGGCAGGAGCGCGCGCGGGGAGGGGCCCGAGCGCGCGCGCGCGCCTTCGCTGCGCCGCTGCGTAGGCGGGGCTCGCAGGTGCGCGCGAGACCCGTCGGGGGACGCGCGCGCGCCGCGGCTTTTGCCGTAGGCGCGTGCAGGCCCGCTGCTTGTTGGGTATCCTGTGTGCGTGTGTGTGTGCGTGTGTGTGTGTGTGTGTGTGTGTGTATATGTGTGTGTGTGTGTGTGTGTGTGTGTGTGTGTGTGTGTGTGTGTGTGTGTGTGTGTGTGTGCGTGCGTGCGCGTGCGTGCGTGCGTGCGTGCGTGCGTGCGTGTGTGTGTGTGTGTGTGTGTACGTGCGTGCGCGCGCGCGTGCGTGCGTGCGTGCGTGCGTGCGTGCGTGTGTGTGTGTAGGTGTGTGTGTGGTGTGCGTGCGTGCGTGCGTGCGTGCGTGCGTGCGTGCGTGCGTGCGTGCGTGCGTGCGTGCGTGCGTGCGTGTGTGTGTGTGTGTGTGTGTGTGTGTGTGTGTGTGTGTGTGTGTGTGTGTGTGTGTGTGTGTGTGTGTGTGTGTGTGTGTGTGTGTGTGTGTGTGTGTGTGTGTGTGTGGGGGGGGGGGGCGTTTTTTTCCGTGCGTGCGTGCGTGCGTGCGTGCGTGCGTGCGTGTGTGTGTGTGTGTGTGTGTGGTGTGCGTGTGTGTGTGTGTGTGTGTGTGTGTGTGTGTGTGTGTGTGTGTGTGCGTGCGTGCGTGCGTGCGTGCGTGCGTGCGTGCGTGCGTGCGTGTGTGTGTGTGTGTGTGTGTTTCTGTGTGCGTGTGTGTGGGGGGGTCGATGTCGCGCGCTCGAGCCGTTTTTGCCTCGCCGCGCCGCCCTCCCCCCCCCTTGCGTGCAGGTTCGTTGCCCCCTCCCTTCTTCAGGTACGCGTGTCATGGCTATGCTATCCTGAGGGGCGAAGAACCGCCGAGGCGGGTGGTTCCGCCCCTCAGCCTCCCTCGCCCGCTTTTGCCGAGCTCGTGAACTGGCTCTCCTCTGCGGCCCATGGGCCTGGAAAACTGTGGTCCGGGTGGCTGCCCGTGCGTGGGCAGCCTCGTGCTTACTCGTTCCGCCTCAGGCCTACGTCTTGCCTCTGTGGCATGGGCTCTTCCGCCCGCACCGCGGCCTACTGCTGGCCTGCTCGGGCAGACGGACCATCTTGCGCCCCGTGAAGGTCAATCCGCCTCAAGCCTACTTGGCCTCTGAGGCATGGGCTCTCTCGCCCTCACCGCGGCCTCTCATTGGCCAGTGCGGATACACGGACCACTTCGTGTCCTGTCAAGATCATGCCGCTTCAGGCCTACTATTGGCCTCTGTGGCATGGGCTCTCTCGCCCTCGCCGCGGCCTACTAGTGGCCAGTGCGGTTTGAAAGACCAGCTTGTGTCCCGTCAGGGTCTGCCTCAAGCCGACTATAGGCCTCTGAAGAATGGGCTCCCCCGCCCTCTCCGCGGCCTACTATTGGCCAATGCGGACAAACGGACCGCAAAGTGTCCCATCAAGGTCTATCCATCTCATGCCTACCAGTGGCCTCTGAGGCAAGGGCCCTCTCGCCATCTCCGTGGCCAACTATTGGCCGATGCGGACAGACGAGCCATAAAGTGTCTCGACAAGGTCTATCCACCTCATGCCTACGATTGTCCTCCGAGGCTTGGGCTCTCTCGCCCTCGCAGCGGCCTGCTATCGGCAAGTGCGGGTAGGAGGGCCAGTTCGTGTCCCGTCAGAGTCTGCCCGCCTCAGGCCTACTATTGGCCTCTGAGGAATGGGCTCTTTCGCCCTCCCCACGGCCTTCCAGTGGCCTGTGCGGGCAGGCGGACCATTAAGCGCCCCGTCAAAGTCTTTTCTGCCTGAGGCCTACCATTGGCCTCCGCGGCCCAGGCTCTCTCGCGCGCGTTGCGGCCTACAACTGGCCAGTCTGGGCGGCCTGGCCATCGGGGCCCCGGCTGTCAATGCGCCTCGAGCCCACGACTGGCCTCTGTGGCATGGGCGCCTTTACCGTTCCCACTCCGCCCGCGCTCCGCGGCACCGCCGTAACGCGCATCAGCAAAGGTCGCGATCGGTGCTTTCGGCGCGCAGCGTTTTGCGACATTCCCCGCAATGTCCGCGGCGCGAGAGATTCTTGGCAGCGTCAGCGTTGACTGCGTGAAAGAAGGGCCACTCAATGAAGCGTCGCCCTAATGGCTGGGCGCCGTCGCGGACTTGGGCGCGCGGCAAGAAAAAGGGGCGGCCGAGGTCCTGGCGCAAGCGAAAGCGTTGGATTTCGAAGGCGACAGGGCAGCCGCGGCAGGGGAAAGGGCGTTCTTGGCAAAATGCAATCCACCAGCGCAGAATTGCGGCCCAATGCCAGTGCGTCTTCGGAGGCCGGGCGTCGCGCCCGGCGCGCCTCCGCGGTCTAGCGCGCGGCGCGCCAGGGCATTGCGCGCGTCAACTGAGCGGCGGAGATCGCACAGCAGCCAGCGCTTGCGGGCTTGCCGCAATCTGGTTGGCCCAGGCGCGCCCGTCGGTTCGGCGCCCCGCGCGCGCGGTTCCGTTCGCGACAACACCAAAATGGCCGATAGGATCGCCTCCGAGGCGCGGAAGTTAGAGACGCGCGCGGCTGCATAGCCATGTCTGTCTTTACAGACATGAAGAATTGGCTTCCGGCCTAGATGGGCCCCGGCGACGCGCGTGGCGCAGACGACGAGCGAGAGGCGTCGAAAGAAGCGAGGAATCCCGCCCGCGCTCTCGGCGCCGCCCTGGCGAACGACCCCAAGAAGGGCATGTTTATCACGACCTGGGCGATTGCTTGTCAGAGGCGCCGCACCACAGCCGGTCTCTGTCGCGGGGCGCGAAATCGCAGGCACGGAGCGGCGACCGCGGCGCTCGGCCAGCCCCCGCCGCGCGCGATCATGCAGCATCAGGAGGCAGTGATGACAGTGGCCAGCCAGGCCCATGCCCGCGGCCAGCGCGCGAGCGCGCGCGCTTCGCAGCAGGTCGCGCAGGTGGGGGCAGAGAAGCGACGCGTTCATTTGGCGCTTATATGCGACGAGGTCGCCCGCGAGAGCTGGGCGGAGAGTGCGATCGCGGGGGGTCCAGAGTTCAAGCTCAGCAAGGCGGTCGGGCAAATCGATCGCACAATGCTGAGCATCGCCGAAAGCATTTACGACAGCGGCGAAGCTGACAAGGGACCCGGTGGCAAGGCGGAAGCCATGGCAGGGCATCCGGCACGGCCGCGTCCAACCACAAGGGCGCTGGCAAGGGCGGTGGGAAGTCTACCCCAAATTGCCAAAGGGTGGCCACTCGGACAGCCAGGGCGCTGGGAAGCGCCACCAGTGGGAGCGGTCCTCCGCGTCTCAGGGCCGGCACGGGGGCACCCGCGGCTGGGCCCCCAAGAAGGGCGAGAGAGCGGTCGCGTCGCCGACGCGGCGCAAGACGTCGCATTGACTATCTT